AGAGCCTTATAGGATAGAGTATTATTGACTGGCAATTTTTATCTTTTAGTATTTGGATCATGCCATTCCATTTTTTCTTTGCCCACAGTATTTCTTCAGAGAAGTCTGATGTTAGCCCAATTGGTTATCTGCTTCTTCTCCCTTGCCAGCTTCAGTATTCATTTTTTGTCTTAACTCTTGCAAATTTTGACAACTATATGTCTTGGTGTAGGACTTAATTTGTTAAGGTACCCCAGGGTTCTCTTAGCTTTCTGAATTTTCCTTTATTATTTCTTTAAATAGGTTTTCTGTGCCCTTCTCTCTTTTTGATTGCTGGTATACCCATTATTTTTGTGTTACCTTTCTTTACGGAGTTGGAAAATTCTGTCTTCATTTTTTTTTTTTTTTTAACTTTTTCCTTTTCCATCTGATTCTTTTTTCATTCACATTTTCAGGTACACTGATTCATTCTTCTAGTTGGTCTATTCTGCTTGCACAGCTTTCTTCTGAATTTTTCTTCTCTATTGCTCTTTTTATATCCTGAATTGCCATTGTTTTCTTATTTAAAGCTTCAATTTACATCTTTTATTTGTTGATTTTATTCCTTAGTACAGTCATTTGTTTTTTTTCTGAATTTTCTTCCATTTCTTTGAATTTCTTTTTCATAGCATTTTGAATTCTGTTTCTGATAGGAAGAATAGATCTTCCATTTTTTGGTGTGTGTTTGGGTTCTGAGGAGTTGTTCTGTGGTGTAGCATTTCCTTGTGCACTCATGTTTTCATTTCTAGTAATTTCTGTCTGCCCCACTTTTTTTGGTTTGTTTGTTTTTGAGGCCCCATAGATATGATGGGACTTCTGCAGGGCATGGCTTCTCATACCCTTTGGGCTAGTACCTGGTCTTACGGGGACTGCTTCCTTGGGGAATTTGGCTGCTCCTTGGTGCTCATTAGTGGTGGCTTCTGTGCTGGGTGTGGTACTTCCCACCCACACTGGGTGGGGGGCGGTCTCACCAGGGCCCGAGTGTGCTTCTACCACCTTGCCATGATCAATTATTAACTCTAGCCCCTCTTTCCTCCTTGAATGATGTGAGGTGGAACTCAAAGTTCTAATCATGCCTTAGTCTTTCTCATGACCAGTGCCCATCTTAAAGCTAGCCAGGATCCTACACAGATGATCTCATTGGAACAAAAAATGTGCCTGTCATCCAGGAAATTTCAAATGATTTGGGAACTCTGTGTCAGGAACCAGATTCAGAGAATAAATGGTGCTCCTATCAACCTTATCATTTACCCCTTCTTTGTAAGGAATGTTTACCCATTTATGATTTTATAACACCATGCATTGTTAATTTGTAAAATATTTATTTAAAAAAGTTGGAAGGTTATTCTGCATTATAAAATAGACTGAAATTATTAATATCACTTGATTTTCCCCAAAATATCTTTCAGTGTTGGAAAGATATCAAGCTCATAATGATGGAAACAAAGTTTTCAAAGTTGCTTTTGCTTGAAAATTCCATGTTAATCACAGCACTTGTGAATACTCTCATTTGTTATTTTGCAAGTGACAGATATACTTTAATTTTTGAGAAAATGCCTGCCAAAGATTCAAGTCTGCACAATCAGTTTGTCATTTTCTTTTTTTTAAGTAAAAATAGTGTTACAGGGGGAAAAAACAGTTTATATTGCATTTCAAGCATTGTACTAGTGTTTTTATTTTCTTTAGCAACAGTGAATTTTGGATATACAGGACTAACTCGTGTTTAGTGTTTTGTTACATCAAACTAAAAGAACAAAAGAACATGTAAGTCAGTGTTGAGATTTAATTAAATTCATCTTTTCCTTATGAATAACTTAAGAGAATCTCTCTTTTTTCTCTTTTTTTGAATAGTGAATGTGCATATACAATCCATTATTCACACAACTTGGAGCTATTGCTTGATTTGTGTTAAGATACAGCAGTTTTGTGTGCAGTTTTATGTGCATCACCAGTGAAAATGTGACCACAGTAAAAAAGGCAAATAATATCTTAATATTATTTGAGAAATTTTTTATTTAAGGAACCTTTCCCCTCATAGGGTCATGGGGATCTGAAGGTTCCATGGTCCACACTTGAAGAACTGCTAATATGGAGGAAAGATTTAATAGAAGACTTATATTTGAAGTTTCTCCACTATTTTTATTCTTGTGATGTTAGATGTCCTTTCTCACAACTTCAGTTATTTCATTTATGAAATTAGGTTTAAAACGTGTTGCTTGGTTTTTTGCTTTTGTGTTGATAGAGTTACAATTAATAAATTATGAAAACCTCTAATTTTGAGTTGTTGCTATTTGTAAATGAGTTTCTGCTCTGGTCAGTTTGGTTTACTTGTCAGTTAGGAATCAGTAAACTTGATGATTTCAAAGAAGAAATTTAGTGTTGGAGCTTAAGTTCTTAAAAAATAACTGCAAGGACTGGAAGAAGGATCTTTAACTCAGCATTCTGAAATGACTCCCAAAGTCTTGCAGGACTGGCCAGTTAAGAAAACTACTTTCTCTGTAACAATCCGAAAGGTAGTGAAACAGGAGGCTCCATGTGGGATTACTGAGCTCAAGAGCATACCTGTTTTGCTGCAATCTTTGCACAAGCGGTTAGGATTAAGTAACTGCCTCTGACCTATGCCTGGACATTGGAGTACCGATTCTAGTTGCCATTTCTACTCTATCTTTTGACATTCCTGCAATTGCAAATTGGACACTGGAATGCTACTGTGGAAGAACCCATGTCCATTTAATCATGTTGAAGAATCTGTCCAAAGCAGCAAGATTATGCCTTTTCCTTCATGTCTGCCTTACAGATTTCATCTTAGTGTCATGTGGCACAAAGGAAGCTTAGACACCAGGGCTAACAAGAAGCATGTTTAATTGCACCGGTGCTGACTCAGCGGATTCTCATCCAAAGGCTGAGCCCCATCTGTAGAAAGTCAGGGGCTTATATACACTTAATGGTTCTGGGTGGGTTTGTATTGGCAGCTATGACATGGACAGATATGACATGGCTACACACCAACAGGTGAGTTATATAGTTGACTACCAAGGAGTGAGTAAAAGGTCAATAGTCATGGGACACCCCCGCCCCCAGGTCTCTTCTGCCTCGTGGCAGTACGTGGTCTAACATGAAGCAAGATTCATACCAGGGGCTAAGTTGCTTACCAGGAACTGTGCAAAAGGTCATTACTAAGACGACACCCCCCCCCCCCCCCGCCCCCGCTGCTTATCTCAGGTCACTATGCTTCATTAGTACATTCAGCTGGTGTAACTTAAACTTTACTCAGAACTTTTTAACTGCTAGTGAATTGGGAAAATAGGTTAGTTGGTTTGTTTTAATCTTTTCAGCCTTTGTAGTGAAAAAAACTATGCTACTTACATGAGAAAATGAAGCATGAGGGCTAGTTCCTGTTTTTCTTCTTTTTGTTTCAAATTATTTTGTTTTTGTTATTTTCTTGTACTCATCCAAGTTTTTGTCATTATTTGATGATCAAGGTAGCTTAACTTTTGTGAGGTCATTCTATGCTGTTCCAGTCCTAAGTTCATCAGTATTAAAACTGGACTGGATGATTACACCCAGGTTCCACCCATCTATAGCTGGACTTGGATATTATAGATGGACTTGGATTTTGTATGTAAGATTTAGGAAGCTCTTGACCTGTTGATCTTTGCAGGCATGTTCCATCATTTCAGTTACCTTGCTGATTACACATGGTAGTAACATATACTTTCTCAACATAGTTTCATCTATACAAAGTAACAGATGTTGGTTTATATTGTTGTTTAAATGAAAATCAGGGCCTCCCCGGTGGCGCAGCGGTTGAGCGCTGTATTGCGAAGCTGCCCGAAGCCTCGGCGGCACTGGTTCGATCCCCAGCTGCTCCCCGGCCACCGGAGGAGGGTCCCACATGGCGCGCAGACCTCTCCTGCCGCCCGCTGCTCCCCTCAGCAGTGTACTTCGGTCCTTCTGCCTGCTCTGCTCCCCTCTCTGGCTCTGTGAATTCTCTCACCCTCCCGCGCTTCCGACTGTACCCAGTGCTTGTATAAATAAATAAATAAATAAATAAATCTTTTTAAAAAAATAAATAAATAAATGAAAATCAGAGTAATGTTGGCATCTTCCAGGTTAAGGAAATTGACCAATATATATTAGGAAAGTAGATTAAAAAATGGTCTTACAGAAGGTGGTAATCATTGCAGCCTATTTGGAAAAAAAAAGTAACATCAAGACTATTCTTTCGTTTGATGACTGGTTATGTCATTTGTATATTTGCTGCCATCTCCCATAGCATTCCACATTAAAATTCAGCACTGTTGGGGCCTCCCTGGTGGCACAGGCGGTTGAGCGCGGCGCTGTGAAGCTGTCCACAGCCTTTGCAGTGCCTATTCGATCTCCGCCGGCTTCAGAGCAACCTACATGGTGCAACAGCCCTCTCCTGTCTTGCCGCTGCTCCCCTCAGCAGTGTATTTTGTTAGTCTGCCTGTTCTGTACCCCACTCTGTCTCTGGTGAATCCTCTCACTCTCCCACACATCTGGGCTGTACCTGGGTTCTTGTATAAATAAAAAATAAATCTTTTAAACAAATTTCACCATTGTTTAACAATTTGGCACAGACTTTTAAAAATAAAAGTATATACAAAAAATAATCTCTACAGGTGCTTATGTCTAGGTAGTAGTATGGATAAACTGGAGTGCGTATTTGAGTTAACATAAATGTAAATGGTTATGTTGATTTTGTGGTTTGTTGTAGAGAAACATTTTAATTTTTTTTTGCTATTAGGTCAGAGACTTAGTGAATATTGAGATTCCTCTGCAATAAAAAATATGCACTTATTGCTTTTTAGGTATACTTTATAGAGAAGAACATTAAGTTTTTGACTATAACCAATTTATACAGAATTAAGTTGGTGTTGACTTTGCTTTGAAATTCTCCATAATAAGAATTACCATCAATTTTGTTTGGCTTTTAATTTTGAGAAAATTTTGCTTTTCAGATGTGATTGATCTCACTGGAGACGATAAAGATGATCTTCAGAGAGCAATTGCCTTGAGTTTGGCGGAATCAAGCAGAGCATTCAGGGAGACTGGAATAACTGATGAGGAGCAAGCCATTAGCAGGTAAAAACATAATTTGTATAAAATATGTATATGCACTGTTGATAATAGCAAAAATAATTGGCTTTAATCTCAAGAGACTTTAACATATATTCTAAATAATTAATATGCTTAAATATTTTTTGTAATTTTCTATATTCTAGTTCTGATTGCATTTGAAACTTTGAGTTTTAGAATTTTGGAGTGATATTATGGAGCATTACATTTAGGTGTATATTTTAATATTTGTTTTTTCTCTCCTTAACCCCTTTTGAATACCTTGTCCAATTTAGTTTTTTCATCATTTATAGAAGCAGTCAGTAAACTCTTTCTAAAAATGACTAATAGCAAATATATATAGCTTTGTTGGCTCTATGGTTTCTGTTACAGTTAATCAATTCTGGTGGTGATGTGCAAATGTAGGCTTAGATAATACATAATTCAATGAGGATGTCTGTGCTTTAATAAATCTTGATTTTAAAAAATAGGTTGCTAACTGGATTTGACCTGTGGACCACATTTTGCTAGCCTCTGATATATGATATAGTAGTATGTTTATAGGACTTTTTTTTTTTTAAGAAATAGGCAAGGTTCCATGATGTGTGTTAGAAAGCATTTTTTGATTTATTCACTGAAACTTGTTAGTTTGAAACAACTTGATCCATCAAGGATCAAATAAATAAATTTGTTTTAATCACTAAATAATGTTGATTCCAACTGTAATTTTATAAATAGCTCTTTGGAGGCAGTGGTAACTATCTTACTGAAGATGAAATTTATCTTTTAAGAGGCTAAGTGCTTTTCCAAGGGTGCATAGCTAAGATGGTCTTACGACTTCAGCTTTCTTCTCATTGTAATGCAGTTTAGTAGCGAATATCCCCAAGGCACAATAGCAACAGTGTATTTCTTCCCGAGTAATCTTCAGATTACTGTATAAAAGGAGATGTCTCAAAATGCTATGTTTAGCAAAGGCACATAATTTTTCTTAGTAATACCTTTTAATGTCTTTAAATGTTACTTTGGAAATTATAAAAGGTCATATTTATATTAAGATGGAAAAAATTAAAATCCATTGTCCTCTTTAGTTGTGACTAATATCATTTAATGCTAGTAATTTTAAATGAAAATCTAAAGTACATTGACTATCTTTAGACATTTTAATAAAGCTTACTTTGTGAAGAATTTGGAGAAATTACAAAATTAAGTTTTTTCCTTTAAAAAAGGAAATATTGCACTTTGTGAAATATTTTAAACATGAAATTTATTAGTTCATTTCATAATTAAGAGGAAAGGTGATTCGTTATGCCATTCGTTATTGAAAAAAGTCATAAAATAGAATGTATACTATGATTCAAGTATTATTTTAAAAAGTGCTTGTGTATTTTTGTTTTATGATTTTATATTAGTGTGCAAATTGGAAAAAATTATATGCTTTCATAGCATAGTCTCAGTAGTTTTATATTGTATGTTTTCTAATTAAAATAACACATTGATTAGATAATAAAAAGTAAAAAAATAAGTTAAATGTTCAAGCATTTAAGGACATTCCTACTCTGATATACAATTCAATGTATACGTTTTGTATTATTTTAGATACTCCTATTTAGGTGTTATAAATCTTTAAGTTAATTTGTGACAAGAATTCTAAGACTAATGCCAGTTGCCTCTAGATGGTAGGGGCCATTGAATACCTTGGCTATCAGCACATTTTTTGAGAGACTTTTATAATAAAACGTGTACCATGTTAGATTACAGGTGGTCTGGTAAAGTTGAAAATATGAAACAAATTAGTGTCATGTTCCACAGTGATGTAATCAGAGTTGGCTGATTAGACTGGAACAGCAACACTATATTTTGTAGAAATTCAGAAGTTTTCTGCAACTAATAACTATAGGACCTATTACTTGTCATTATGGTATATATGATCTGCTCTTATTAGCATTATTAAGAAGGGTTTGTGTCTTACTAATTCTTTGTGTCTTACTAATTCTTTGTTACAATTAGTAGTTTGAAAATATATAATGGTAGAGCTTTACCCACTAGAAAATTCAGAATTAAAGGGGCTTCTTTATTAGTTTAATCAGTTTATACTTTCAAAATAAGCTGTCGAACCTCTTTTTAAATTGTTATTGTGCATATCCACCAGTGCTAGTCAGTTGGTGGATGCCTTTTTCTATCTCTTATATAGACTGCTGCTGCTCATTGTTCTTTCCTCTTTGTGGTACTGTCAGTTATTTTCCCAGAACTCATTGCTTTTTTTTAGTTCATTCATCTCTAATTATGAAGCTAGATAAGATTCTTCATGTATACTTCTAAATATGCGTATGCATTACAAAAGGATAATTCTCAAATGAAAATACTCCCATTTATAAAAATCAATAAAAAATTAAATATACCATCTTATACATGTATTTTGCATTACATTTACCTTTTGTATACTATGCATTATCTTCAGTTTTTGAATATAAGCTGCTTAGTTGCCTTGTGAAATTTAATTTCAGTTATACTAAATTGTACAACTGAACAGTTGAGGGTCTTTCAGTTTGATTCCTTTACTTTTTATTGCTCCGTATGTTCCTGGAAATTTGCTATCTGCTAGGTGTGGTATGTTTCAGATAAATTCTGGTTTTCTTCTGCCTCAATTCGTTTAACTAAATAACTCAAGAAATTCTTGGGCCTCCCCTGGTGGTGCAGCCGTTGAGCACTTTGTTGCGAAGCTGCCCGCAGCCTCTGCAGCCGCCGGTTCATTCCCGGCCACTGGAGGAGGGTCCCACATGGCGCGCAGACCTCTCCTGCCTCCCGCTGCTCCCCTTAGCAGTGTACTTCATCTGCTTGCTCTGCTTCCCTCTCTGCCTCTGGTGAATTCTCCCACCCTCCCGTGCTTCTGACTGTACTCAGTGCTTGTATAAATAAATAAAAATAAATCTTTAAAAAAAAAAGAATTTATCTCCCTTTAAAAAAAAAGAAAAGAAATTCTGGTTCCTTTTAGTGGCAAACAACTTAAGAGATTGCATGTGAGAGAATCATTTTGGGGCAAAGAGTACTGCTACCAATGTTGGGTCATTCTTGAAAGTAAAAGGTATAAACATTTATTGTCATTTTTATTCTTTCTATGTTTAAAAAATATGTGGGTTTTTTTGATATTTACATTTTAATAGATGTATTGCTGTTACATGATTTTTTAAAAATATGTTTTCTTTCATTCTCAAATAAAGACTTTATCCTTTATTTCCATATCATATTTAGTAATAATAGTTTGGAATCATCTTACACTTTATCTAATGTCATGTTGTAAACAGTGCTGTTAATTGATGAAAATAATTTACTTTTTCTCTATTAAAACCATAGGTCATTATTTCGACATTAATTTAGTAGGGAAAATTCTTAGGATAAAGATAATATAGCATGAATGAGATTTTCTCAAGACTACAAAAAATTGGAAACAGTCGTGCTGTGGCTATTTTAAGGCAAAAAGAGTTAAGATGTCTAAGTACTGTGCAAACTTATTTAGATAGTGAGTAGCACTTGTTTCTAGCAGGCAAAATGCTGTTAGTTTTTGCATGGGAAGTGGGGTTTTCCATCATATTGTTGCACACTTAAGAGCAAGAAAAACATTGGTAAAGTGACATTACTCTTGCCATGTTTAGATAGGTATCAGATACTCTGTAGGTGAGTTTATTTTGATGAGGTTTATCTTTTATTTTGACACATAGAGATATATATTATTGGGTTTCTGCCTAGGCAAACTTTTGTGTGAAGAAGTAAACATACATGTCTTCTACTACTTTATTTAGATGTCGTGGAATCAGATCTTTAGAACAGAAGGAAATCTAGAATTGACTTAACTTTTTTTTATAGAAAATGAAATAAATGGTCTAAGTACAGTTCAGTTTTTAATGTTTTCTTTTTTTTTTTTTTTTTTTTTTTTAAAGAATTATTTATTTATTTATTTATACAAGCACTGGGTACAGTCAGAAGCTGGGAGGGTGAGAGAATTCACCAGAGCCAGAGCAGGGAGTGGAGCAGGCAGAAGGACCGAAGTACACTGCTGAGGGGAGCAGCGGGCGGCAGGAGAGGTCTGCGCGCCATGTGGGACCCTCCTCTGGTGGCCGGGGAGCAGCCGGGGATCGAACCGGCACCGCAGAGGCCGCGGGCAGCTTTGCAACCCAGCGCTCAACCGCTGCGCCACCAGGGAGGCCCTTTAATGTTTTCTTAGTGATAAAAAATGTTGTAAGAACTAGTTACTGTATTATATTGTACATAAGTATTTTAATTCAGAAAACTTACCTGAAGCACTTGTAGGTGCTTTATCACTGGTGCTAAACCTAATTTGTTGAATTATCACTTAACATCTGTTACATAACTCTCAGTGCTTGAAGTTTCTTTTTTCCTCTGAGATAAAGATAGTACCCCCTTTTTAGCATTGCCACTGCTGTATTCTTCCCCTTTCATTGTCCAGAGATTAAGTAGTTAAAATCCTTAGTTTTATAGTATTCTGTGTTCTAGGATACAGCTTAATTTTTTTTTTCTCCATTTCCTAAGAGTTCTTGAAGCCAGCATAGCAGAAAATAAAGCATGTTTGAAGAGGACACCTACAGAAGTCTGGAGGGATTCCAGAAACCCTTATGATAGAAAAAGGCAGGACAAAGCTCCTGTGGGGCTAAAGAATGTTGGCAATACTTGCTGGTTTAGTGCTGTTATTCAGGTAAGAATCTTCATGCAGATCTTGTTTGGTGTAGGCATCATAGTAATGTAAAGTGGGTTTGGTGGTGTATGTTTTAAGTTGTGTACTCTAAATGTCAGTGCAGGCAAGGTCAAAACCTTGCCTTTCTATCTACCTATGCCTTTCTATTTAATCTGCTTGTTTGGGGATTGCTTTCCTCCTCCATCTCTACTCTTCACTCCCAGTATGGAGTTTTGACAGTAGAGCTCTACCTATGCCTTTCATATATTTGGGGTTTTTTTTTTTTTGTTTTTTGTTTTTCCATTTATTTATTTATCTATCTATTTATTTATTTATTAAGATTTATTTATTTATTTATTTATACAAGCACTGGGTACAGTCAGAAGCGCGGGAGGGTGAGAGAATTCACCAGAGCCAGAGCTGGGAGCAGAGCAGGCAGAAGGACCAAAGTACACTCTTGAGGGGAGCAGCGGGCGGTAGGAGAGGTCTGCGCGCCATGTGGGACCCTCCTCCTGTGGCCGGGGAGCAGCCGGGGATCAAGCCGGTGCTGTAGAGGCTGCGGGCAGCTTCGCAACCCAGCGCTCAACTGCTGCGCCACCGGGGAGACCCGCCTTTCATATATTTGAAATTAATTTTTCCTCTCCCCCTACTGTTAGGAGTTTTTGGCAGGATGGAAAAACAATTTATATTTATTTTTCTGCAAATTTAGGGAAGAATGTGTCCAAGAGATGAACCAGAACTGTTGTGTATTAAATCAGATTTTTTTATATATATTGAAAAATGTTATTCATATAAATTTATTTTTTTAAAGATTTATTTTTATTTATACATATGAGAACTGGGGTGTAGGGCAGAGGTGCGGGGAGTGAGAGGATTCACCAGAGACAGAGTGGGGAGCAAAACAGGCGGATCTCCCTAAATACACTGCTGAGGGGGGCAGCAGGCGAGACAGGAGAGTTCTGCTGCATCATGTAGGTCAGCTCCCTGGCCAGTGATCTAACTCATGCTGCAGTGGCTGGTGATAGCTTGATAGCATTGAGACTTTACCTGTGCCACCTGGGAGGCCCAGAATTACATTTATTTTAATACTATTTTTTATATGAGGAGGAATTTTGTTTGAGATGGTTAAAAAATGACAGTTTTCAATGTGTGTATAAGAATGATGTAAAGAATACATATTGAAATGTTTTTAACATCCCTATTCTAAAATAAGAAATGCTTGTTATGCACAGGTATCCATCGTCTCAATTTGGACTACTTTTCTTTCTTTGTTTTTTTCACTTTTAGTGAAATGACTATTACTTTAAATACTTAACATCCTCAAGTAGACATTGATATTGTTCCCTTTCAGGTTGCAAAAATATAAATAAAATAATTTATGAATAATATGCTCTTAGATTTTACTATTCTTCAGGAAAATTAATATTTTGTGTTTATTTTCCTAATACAGTAGGATTCTAATTTAGTGTTCTCAATGAGAACTTTTTAAATCATTGGGCAAGTGTATCATTTCTTTTTCAATTTATCTCTTTCTATTGTAGCTTTCCAAATCTCTCTGACAGTATAAATTTTCATATGATATTGAAGCAACTAGCTAATTATTTAGCTCATTTTTGACAAGTTCTTTGTGTTCTCTAAGTTATTAATTTGTAATTTTAACTTTTTTATATTTTAGTGTTACAGTTTTTAACCCTCCCCCATTTTTTGCCTCTTGTATACCATGTGCTATGGTATACTCTGTATAGTATTATTTTTTCCAGGTTGTTAAAATGTTGAATATCTGGATTAACATTAATCTGTAATAATACCTTTGAGCCTAATCTTGATTATGCATTAATTGTTCACATACATGCAAAGACTATCTAAAATTTTACTTTCTACCTTAGAGTCTCTTATATCTTCTTAATAAACTGCCCATGTATAATTGTAAGTATTGTTAGTGATCCAGCACAGTATGTCAAAATAAAAGGAATTTGACATTTTCTTAGGGAAAAATACATCTTCTTGTGGTAATTGGAAAAATGCTGCAGAAAAATAGTTGTCAAAAATAAATCTCTAAGCCCAATCATATTTTTATAATTCTGTTCATAGAATTTCCCTTAAGGTTTTGTCTTAAATGTTTGCTCTTTTTCAGTCATTATTCAACCTTTTGGAATTTAGAAGATTAGTTCTGAATTACAAACCTCCTTCCAATGCTCAAGATTTACCCCGAAACCAAAAGGTAAAATTATAAAAGATTTTTAAGAGTATGTATGTTCTTCATATTCTTTTATCTATGCTTGCCTTTTGGGTGTTTGCCTCATCAGATCTCATGTTTTATCAGATTTGTCAACCATTGATGTTAATTGCTACAGTAAGTTCCTGTTCTTTGTCAGTATATTGCAAAAAGGATTTTTTCCCTTCACTTGTACGTCAGTAATATGCCAGTGTTTTATTAGTATTATTATTATTTTAAACAAATGTTTAAGATTTGTTTATTTATTTATACAAGCACTGGGTACAGTCAGAAGCACAGGAGGGTGAGAGAATTCACCAGAGCTAGAGCAGGAAACAGAACAGTCAGACTGACGAAGTACACTGCTGAGGGGAGCAGCGGGCGAGTCAGGAGAGGTCTGCGCGTCATGTGGGACCCTCGCCAGCGGCTGGGGATCGAACCGGGGCTGCTGAGGCTGCAGGCAGCCTCGCAGGGGAGGCCCAATATGCTAGTGTTTTAATGTCACTTAATAATTGTATTTTTATCTTCTTTTGAACTGTCGAATTTCATAGGTTATAATAGATAGTAGGCTTTCCTCAATGGTCTCAAAAATTGTGTGAAAATCAAAAAAACTTTTAAATTGTTTCTATATATGAGCCCTTTAAAAAAGTAGTTTTACAGTGTCCTCACAGTACAAATCTATGACTTCTGTTTTGTAATTTAATATTCTTAGGCAGACTAATTTGACAGCACAGACATCAGGGCCAGATTGCCTGGGTTCTGGTTGTGGACCCAGAACAAGTTACTTGATCTGTCTCTCATTTTCTTTATCTGAAAAAGAAGTAATGGCAGGTATTTCATAGAGTTTCTATAAAAATTAAGTGAGATAAAATATATCAAGTGCCTGCAAGTGCCTGGTACATAGTAAGTACCAGCGTCATCTATTGTTAGAGTTTATATAGCTTATATTCAGTTTTTAAAAAGCAGATATGATTTGCATGCAGAAATTTATACTTAATAGAAATGTAGTACAGAATTGATATGTTTTTATATAATGATCTTGTCATAAAGAATTTATAACCCTAAAGAATACTGGTCACAAAGACAAAGAAATTAAAGTTTTAGATTTTCAGCTCATTTATGAAAAATCTAAAACTTACAGAATGCTAAGGTATCAGCCTTCACCACTTTGTGAAACACTGGATTGGAGTTCTTAATCTGTGTTAGAAAAAAACAAGAAAAAGAAAGAAATATAGAAGTTGGAAAGAATGAAATAAACTTTTGTGTATATGACTTGTCTAAGTAGAAAACCTTAAGTACTGTACAAGGAAATAAATAAAATTTGTTTATTATTCCTAGGTCCAGGAAATGAGTTCAACAAGGTTACGCAATACAAGGTGGCATTGGAAATCACTTGTATTTCTAAATATTGCCAAACACATAATTGGAAAGTTAATTTAAAAATACCTATAATAGCATAAGATATGGACTGCTATGGATAAAGTACACAAAAATAACATGAAAAACTGTAACACCGAAATAATTTAAATAGATTATATTCATGGATTAGAGAATTCAGTAGCTTATATTCATGGATTAGAGAAGTCAGTATTATTAAAATACCAGTTATCTCCAATTAAGTTGGGAGATTCAGTATAATCCAGTCATAATCTCAGACTTTTTCATGAAAATTCACAAACTGGTCCCAGAATTTATGTGTAAAATTTTAAGCATGTAGAATGACCATAGACATTTTATAAAGAGGAATTAATTCTCATGCCACATGATCAAGACTCTGTGTTATTGGCAAAAAGATAGTTCTGTCGATCAATGGAACAGAATAGTGTCTGGAAATAGACCTACACATTTAGGGTTAATTGATTTTAGTCAAAGGAAAATCTTTTTAACTACTGGCATCATAGATAGAAAAATAAGTTTCAACTCATGCATAGCACTATGATTAGAAAAAAAAACAAAACCATAATGCATTATAGACCTAAAAGGGAGAACAAAAAATAAGAGCAAATGTTGTTGTCCTTGGTTAAGAAAAGATTTCTCAAGTAGGCAAGCAAAAGCCTTAAAAACATGATTAATTGGATTTCATCAAAACTGAAAACTTGTTATCTTTTGAAAATTTCATACAAATTAAAAGACTAGCCATGAACTAGGAGAAAATATTAGAAAAATTTATATTAGATAAAGAAATTATATGATACAATTATTGTTTGTTGTGGTATATATAACTTATTAATACATTGAGGAAATTATTTGATCTCTGTTCCTCAAAAAGATACACAAATTTTAAGTAACTACATGAAATTATTTCATCTCTGTTCACCAAAAAGAAAAACAGATTTTAAATAGCTACAACATTATTAGTCATTAGAAAAATACAAATTAAAACTAGGGATGCCACTATGTACCCACTGGAGGAACTGAAGTTAGAAATACAGTACATATCTGGGCCTCCCTGGTGGTGCAAGGAGTTAAGATGCAACCTATGAAGCTATCCACATGAGTTCGGTCCCTACCTATGGAGCTACCCACATGGCGCAGCAGACCTCTCTTGGCTAGCCTACTGCTCCCCTCAGTAGTGTATTTTAGTCAATCTGCCTGCTCTGTTCCCCACTGTCTCTGGTGAATCCTCTGCCCCCCCCACCCCACCCCCACACCCCCCAGGCTTGTACCACAGTTCTTGTAAGCATGAATAAATTTTTAAAATATATATATATTTTTAAAGATTTATTTATTTATTTATTTATTTATTTATTTATACATGCAAGCACTGGGTACGGTCAGAAGCTTGAGAGGGTGAGAGAATTCACGAGAGTCAGAGCGGGGAGCAGAGCAGGCAGAAGGACCGAAATACACTGCTGAGGGGAGCAGTGGGAGGTCTGCGCGCCATGTGGGACCCTCCTCTGGTGGCCGGGGAGCAGCCTGGGGTCGAACCGGCGCTGCAGAGGCTGCAGGCAGCTTCGCAACCCAGCGCTCAACCGCTGTGCCACCGGGGAGGCCCTAAAAATATATATATATAGCCCATATCTAAGTGTTTGAGGAATGTGGACCTTGAATTTTGTTTATTACACTGCCTGTGGGAATATAAAATTCTTAAAAACATCTACCATACAACCTAGACATTTTCTCCAGGTTTTTACTCAAGAGAAGTGAAAGAATATGTTCACAGAAAAACATGTATGCTAATATCCATATTGCTTAATGGATAAACAAGTTGTGGTGCATCTATACAGTGGCATACCAATCATGATAAAACAGAAAGAATTATTCATGTACACAATTATATGGATGAAATGCAAAGTAATCATGCCAATTTTAAGAAGCCAGATGTGGGCCTCCCTGGTGGCACAGGGTTTAAAGTCTCAGCGTTATCAAGCTATCACCAGTCACTGTGGCATAAGTTTGATCCCCAGCCGGGGAGCTGACCCACATGGTGAAGCAGAGCTCTCCTTTCTTGCCTGCTGCTCCCCTCAGCAGTGTATTTCGGTAGATCTGTCTGTCCTGTTCCCAGCTCTGTCTCTGGTGAATTCTCTCACCACCTCCCACGCCGCACCTCTGGCCTACACCCAGTTCTTCTATGCATAAATAAATAAATCTCTCTAAAAAAACAAAAACCAGATGAAAATGAATACATAGGGATTGATTTATTTTATATAAATTCCCACAACTATAAAATGACTATGGTTGCCTGTGGATGAATAGGGAGGGGAGTCAAGGATGAAAAGACTTGAAGGTGTTGGATAGGTGTGTTATCTTGATTGTGGAAATGTTTTCATGGATATATAAATATGTGAAACTTGTGAATTGTTACACTTTATAATGCAATTTTTAATGTACATTATATTGTGTATGTTATACCTTGATAAATCTATTTAAGAAAAACACAAAGGGTAGTGTTTGAATAGATTCTATATGTGGTGATATTTGATAATTTAGCCTAGTGTAGTAGATGCTGTTAGTATCATTTACAATTTTGCCTTTTGAAATTTGAAAAGATTGTCTAGCCATAAGAATTAGCTAAAAGCAAAAATGTTTATTATGTTAAAATATTTCACTCTTGGAATATGCTTCTCAGAAGAGTTTTATTTAATGTACAGAAATCATTTATTTTGTCCTTATTTGTCAAGGAATGTCTCAAAAACTGCATTGACTAGTTTTGATAAAACTAGTTTTATAGTTTTGATAATGCCAACTATGTAACCTTGGAAAAACTTCCTAATATTTAAATTCTGTACAAACTGTATCTGTTAAAATTGTTATTGCAAGAGCTACCTATAATAAGAACTGCTTGTCTGATTTTTTTTTTCCTTAAAGCATTTCATTAAGGTATATGAGTTACATTGTTTTAAAAATATTTCCTTGTTTTAAAATGTTTATGACTGATAATATTGGGTTGTTTTTACTCTTTCTGGAGGGCTTGTTAATCAACTGGTTAGAATTAATCACTGTCTAGTAAAAATGTGTGGAAGAGACAGAAGTTGTTGTCTTTGCAAACCTTACAGTTTTACTGAGAAGCAAGTTAAGATTTTAAAGTACACTGGGTGGTACATTGGTGTAATGTTAGGATTTAGTCTAATTGCTTATTAAACTAATGTTAGGCTAATAACTAGGATCATCACAGGATAGTGGCAGTTGGTAATTCCTTACTGAGTAAAATACATTCATTTCAGTAGATGTGGAGTTTGTTTGGGAAGGCTTCATGGAGGAAGAGGGATTTTTGCTTAAATGGTTTATTGAAGAAAAGTACTTCAACAGTGCCTGGCACGTAGTTAACATTCGCTGAGAGTTGGCTGTTGTTATTGCTGTCCTCAGCAGCAGCTGGGCGTTGGTGAATGGAAATGACTATAATAAACAGACTTGAGTGAGGATATTCTTGGCTGGGTAATGACATGATTTGCTATGAATATATGGCATTTATGCTGAAATTGTGGGTTTAGACTAGGTCCTATGCTGTTTACAAGCTCAGCTCTTGAGTCTCATAGATTATTTTTAAATTAAATAACACTCTTCCTTATTTAATTGTGATATAGAAGTGTTAGGCTCATCCCTAGTCGATATCACTTAGTTTAATTTTTGGTTAATTTAAAATGATTGTTTGCCAGTAAAGATTTTGTTAATCTTCATTTAAGGTCTTTCTTTTTTTCCTCAAAGGAGCATCGGAATTTGCCTTTTATGCGTGAGCTAAGGTATCTATTTGCACTTCTTGTTGGTACTAAAAGGAAGTATGTCGATCCATCAAGAGCAGTTGAAATTCTTAAGGATGCTTTCAAATCAAATGATTCCCAGCAGGTAGTGTTGTTGAGCTTCCTTGTTTATTAACTATTTGTAGTTTATTTCATCTGATCTTTTCTTCCTTAAGCCCTTTTTCAAGGATACATGTCAATTGAGGATGTTATTGTTCATTGTGATTAAAAATTAACTGCCATCATTTAAAACATTGCTCATTTGAAGGATTTACTTTCAAGTACAGAAAAAGTAATAGTGATCTTGAAAGTGTTAAGATACTTGAAGCTGTAGTTTTATTATAATTGAAACTGCAAATAGAAGTAAGTAAAATTAAGAATGTTGACAAATGTAATTAAAAATCTCAAATATGTGATAAGCTAATGCCAAAATAGTATAATTGTGTTTGATAATGTCTATTTTTTTGCTAGCAGGAAAAGCTTTCTTAATTACATTACCTTTGTTATTGTTGCTCTCTTACTGATCACCCCCCAACACAAACACTGTTACCTAATGTTATTTAGTAACTTTTTAACTCATTTCTTAGAAAGAATATTGAGAATTTTTCTATTAAAATAGAAAATATCTGTAAACCAAACAATGTTTCACATATAATTTGAGACGTCAGAGATTTAAAATAGAAAACAGAAGAGAATCAATGAAAGTAGCAGAGAATAAATAGGAATGTTGGAAAAGGTGGCAAATAAGAAACAATGGACAGAAGATGAAACATTTCAGAATATTTTCTAAAAGCCACTACACTTGCCGTGAAATATTTTTTCAGTGCTTGGGTCAACATAATGTGTGTAAGTGGAGGTGATGTTTAGAGGAGGCTACTAAAAGATGTCTGTTTGATTCTGTAAATTTTGCTGTTTTTTTTTTTAATTTACCCCATATGGCAACAGTAAATGAACATAAGGGATTCTCACACAAGGATTATTTTTATTTGTGGTCTGCATTTTTGCTTCCCTATCTATGTTTTAGTGCCCGTTAGGTTTTATTCATCCCTAAGGTTTTATTCATACTCTTATTGGTTACAACAATGTTTAACAAAAGTCAAAAGAAATACTCCTACATATGATTCCAAACCTCAATTATTAGACGCTCGTCCCTCTAAGGTTTTTTTTTTTTTTGGTAATAGCATTTGTTATTGTATTCAGTGTGTATAATCTTTATTGGTTTTGTGTATACAATTAAATTTTTAAAAGGACCTAGAAACTATTACTCTTAGTGAAGTAAGTCATGATGAAAATAAACCCTACCTAAGCTCACTCATGTACTGTATAGAGAAAACAAATAGATGAACTAAATAAAGGAAAAATAAACTTTTAGATAAGACTGCTTATTCATTATCAGAAAGGAAGAGGAAATGGGAATAAGTAAAACAAGTTAAAATGATAAAATTGGGCTTTTAATGGTGGACTTAATGTAGCATATATACATGTTGCTTTTTAATGATGCACACCTGAAATTTATGTATTACTGCAGTGTTTGGTGAAAAAAATAAAGACATTTATGTTCCTTACATTTTCATCTGGAATTGCTTTTTTCTTTTTTCTCCTTTTTATACTTTTTGGTTACTTTTTAGTGCTGAAGCTTTCTGTAGATGTATAATGATCTTTGGGTATCTTATTTAAAAATGAGGCAGCACAGGTTTCCCTGGGAGGCTTATATGTACATAGATGGACTTTAGTTTTGTTAGGAAAAGCAAGGAGACAACCTTCTTTTAGGTTGTTATGTATTCTAGAATGCCAGAATGCAAATGCCTTTGATTTGGGCTGGTAGTATAGAACAACTAGATTTCTCCTTGTTGATTCTTTTATTGTAGTTGCCCCTCAATTCAGGATCATAAGGGTTTGATGCTTTTCTGTGCCTGAATACTGAAATCTGAAGAATGTTAACGACAGATGTAGATTTCACAAATGAAATAATCATTATTTTTTTAAGTTAATTTATTTCATATTGTTCCTAAAGATATCATATTTGGTAATATGTGAGTCTTTTGGGATACCCTTTGGTAGAGTGTTGTCAATTTTAATTATCTCTGTTTTAATTGCATTTGGTAGTTTGGTAGTTTCTTTTTTTTTCTCAATGAAAGTAGGTAGAATTCTTTTGTGCTTGCAAATTTTAGATTGCTAAAAATGACAGTAATTATTGTCTTCCGAAGAGTGTTGTGATAGCTAGGAAATCTTTTTGTTTCTAATTAGACATAACCTTGAAAGATAACTGTAAAGGCAGGAATGGACGCGGTGCAGGTTTTCTGATCCCATGCAGACCGGGTAAAGGAGGAGTCAGAGTCCTCAGTGGTTTCGCAGGTCTTTTATTGGGGTTCAGCGGGTATATGGCAGGCAGGGGTGCTGGCTGGGGGGCTGGGAGGCTGGCAGGCCTCCCAGCCCCCAGCAAGTCTTCACTCTATCTGGGCTCTCTAGCGCTCGTTCTGCTGCTTCTCGGCTTCTCTTTCGGCTTCTGCTTCGGCGGCGGCGGCGGCTGCTGCTGCTATTGCTGCTATTGCTGCTGCTGGCGTCCCCGTGACACCGCCCTTAAAAGCACAGTCTTAGCCCAGGTGAATCCCATCTACCTATGCCCACACCCTATTCCAGGTGCCCGCCATCAGGCATGCATTCAGGACAAGGATCCATCATCTATCCTGATGGCCGGAGGGCAGAAAAGCCTGACATTTTCTTTACCCTACAATAACTAAAGTTATAAAAAAGGGTGGAAACTTGCTTCAAGGTGTTAGTTTGATAGAAAGTTATTCTCTCTGGCAGGTAGCTCTCCTGTCTGGCTATGATTATACAGGTGTTTCTTTTCTATGTGTTTTCTATGTCAAACCTTTTCCCTTTGCAAACCAGTTGCAGCAGCTCTCCTGTCTGCTTGTGACTATGCAGGTGCCTCTCTTTTTCTTTCTTTCTCCTAATAAACCTGTCCCTTTAAAATGTAAAAAAGAAAAGAATGTTACTCTTTCACAATTCTAGGGTCCAAAAGTCCAAAAATTTGAATTACATGTTTGTTTGTTTTTTTTTCCCCCATAAAGTGAGACCTAGTCATAGTGATTATCAAAATAATACTTTTTTGGTAAAATACTGATTTTATACTCTGGATAAATTATATATATTCATTAAATGTGAAACATTTCATATGATGACTTTGTGAGGAGTCAGTCATTATACATTTGAATGATTGGCTATGAATTTTATGTTGCAATATTTAGTATTTTTATAATTAGACTTAGATATTGACACAACTTTTTCTTTCCACAGCAAGACGTGAGTGAATTTACACACAAATTATTAGATTGGTTAGAAGATGCCTTCCAAATGAAAGCTGAAGAGGAGACGTAAGTTACTGTCAAATTTAGTGATGGGGTTTTAGGAGACCAATAAATAATACAGTCTTCATCTGTGTTCATTTCAATAAAGAAATAGGAAACTGGGGTAAATATATGGGAGCTCAAATGTTATTGTATTGTTGATAAGCTGTTTGGGACTTGTGACCACAAATGTTAGATAACTTTAGATTTCCACTCGAAGATTAGAATCTAGCTAACAAGATGAAAGAAGTGATTACTGAAAGGGCTAGTTCCAGGTGCCTAGTTCTTGTTTTCTTACATTCAGCAGTCATTTTCATGAGGAGACATGCGTGGTTGGTGAGGACGGATGACAGAGTGCTAATTCTGATGAAGTCCTCTTGCATGGACCCTTAAGGACAGGGATATGCAATTCCTCTGCAGTGTTGCCTTTTTATTCTCTTTCCATTAGACTTGCTTATTTAAAATATATAGTTAGTCTCCTTAGAGGAGGATAGCCATACTCTTTCTAGGAGGGTCATATTCCAGCTCTCATGAGGCCACTCTCCTGACACCAACCATTGGTTCCTTTGTGAGTAGTCTTAAGTCATTGCTGGCCTACTTAGGATTTGCTTCCATGGTCTCTGAGATGATTCTACAAGGTGTGCTACTTAAACCTAGAATACTGGTAGAAATCCAGGGCTAAAAATTCTCTACCTTTTCATTTTTCTATTTTCAAATTATAGTCAGCCTTATTGTTTAGTAAAAAATCATTATAATATGATCTGCAATGAGATTAAAGTAAAAGATCTCTACTTATACAATCTTAACCATTAGATGCCTCCAAACTTTAATATAGACCTCCTCTTCCCAAGGAAAAATTAAATCCTCTCGATCTTTCAAGGTAAAGTACAAACCAAAAAAAAAAAAAAAACTTAAAAATCAAATTCTTTGCCCTGTGGTTGCAATCTAACAAAAATGAAATCATTTCCAAGTTTCTCAGTTTGCTCATCCTCAGCTTACAAGGCTGATGGTTATGTGCTTGAATAGAATTGGCCTTCTACACCTAAGGACTGCATTGTTTCGTTTGTTCATTGTTTCATTAGTTCAGGCCTTCAACTGTATGCATTTCACATGCTTTCACTTTAGATGTTGAGAGGATTATTAGGACACACATGATTGACCTTAGTCTTTTGAAATTCTGATACAAAAGCAGAACTTCAACCCCTTTGTGCAGTTGTTATATTCTGAACCCAGTACAATCCAAACTCAAGTAGTTGTTGCCAAAGATTGTATGAGAAGCTTAAGATAATGTGGTAAACAGGGAAATCCTTTGGTTTTAATCTTGACAAGATGCCTGTTATTAAGGGCCATTGGTTGCATGTGACTACCCGTGAATTTATGCTAAGTTGGGAGAAATCGCTCGAGGTTAATTATGGACACTAAGTCTACAATATCAAGGGGAGGGATGTGTGTTCCATTTTGTGTAAATTGTCTCTGTCTTAAAATGTGGCATTTGAGAATTGCTACTTTCTTGACATCTTTACACATTTGTTTACAGCCCTGGCACCACCCTCTCCTGTCCACCAAAAACTGGGTGCATTTTTCTGATGAAGTTCCGTTTAGGGTCCCTGGACTTTGTCGGATCAAGCTGATGACAGATTTTTGTGTCACAATCTCTTCATGTTGACTTCTATCTTCTCTTCATATTCGTTTCATAGGGGCAATCCCCCCATCAGATTCCTGAGCTGAATCTGCTGTTGGTGCTTCTCTGACCCTTAGCTCCCTTCACGCTGTGAGATTCCCTCTCTGTGATAGGCCCTTTCTTCAGCTTCTGAAAGTCCTGGACCTTGAGAATATCCCTTCCTGCTACATCTTTTTTTCTGGGTGGGATATTCGGCTATGGTTCAGTTACATGAACTTAAATATTTCATTCTTACATACAGTTAATGCCTTTGGAAGAGTTGGCTGAATTTCTAGCAGTTTAACCTGTTTGGTCTCTGCCTCATTTAAGACCAGACTTGTTGGATGGCTCTCTTCTCTTCCTGTTCTTTTTTTTTTTTTTCTGGCCCGTATTTCTTTATCCAACTTGTTACTCTGATACTGTATTGATACATCCCTTATAAATAAAAGTTAGTGAAATCTGTTAAAAGTATGTTCAAGTAATTTATAATTCTGACCTGCCTTGCCTGCTGTCATCTCCTTGGGTTGGAAGTTTCCATCAGGATTACTGTCCTAACAGAAAACCTGTGTGTGGACTTGATCTAGGCTTATCCATTCTGGTTCCTCTCTAGTAAAACTCCAGTTCTCTGTACCTTAGTGTTGTGATGCTAAACATTTATTGAGCATATTCTCTCAGAGTGTAAACTGTATCTGTATTCCCATCTGTGATAACTGAGTGTCTTTGAAGTTTTTTCTTTTACCTAATGTTCCTATTCTTCCTCCCAAATCCATCCAGATTTTTCATAACCATTTCATCTTGTCTTCATCAGAAGACTGTCCAGTTGCTTTTTATCTGTAGATTTACAGGAGTGTCACTTGACTGTTTCCTGATTTCTTGTCCTTTTGAAGGGACCATTCTGTTTTGATTTTGGAGATCTTGCTCATTATTTTGTTGTTAGTTTTCTTGGGTTCTAGTTATCTTTTTCTGATCTAGTAACTAACAAATTATCTCTCCTTTTTCTAAACCTTAAAAGAAGCTAAAATTTTGTCATTTTATCTGAAATCTTTTTGGGCAGGGATGGCTTATTCAGCTGAACTTTTAAGCCCATTTGAAATAATACCCAATTTGTTTACTTTAGTTTGTTCTTTATTGTTTGTGGTGCTAAAACTGTCTTTGTACCCCTGTGCCCTGCCTCTCCGTAGCAAAGCTTTCCAGTTGTGCCATGACAGACCAGATTACTGGTATGTGAAAATACTGTCCCTTCTATGATCATGGAAAGCACATCTTTATATGCCAGCATTTTCTTCACGCACTGTCTACTAGTGGCGTTGTGAAGATTGGAAAACACTGACCCTAAGCATCCTAAGTTTTATTCTATTGGCTGCTCTAAGCTTTTGAATTCTTTCTGTGCCATACAATTTGCAAAACTAGGTTTTGTACTGATGCAAGTTTACTTTAGTGATTTCTTTTTGTCATTGATATTTACATCAGTCTAGCTTTTTTTTTTTTTTTTCACCCAAGTGTAGTAGTCTCATGCCTTTTTAATTACTTTTCACTTGTATTCCTCATGTTACCTTTGATTTAACCATAGTCTGGGTTCCTGAGATTCACAAATTAAATGAATGAACCACTGAAAGGTTGCAGTGAAGAATGAGGTAAACAATTTCTTTAAGATTCCTAAGAAAGCAGGTTCCTCAAAAGATTAAAAACAATTACCATTCAACTGAAGGAATCTTTCCACAACACAGAGTTTTGGAGTCATATTTGAGTTCTCTTTTCAGCTGGAGCACTTACGAGTTGCATGGATTTGGGCAGTGGCTAAACCTACTTAATAGTTTTATTATCAGTAAAATAGAAGTGATAGTATCTCCTCTTGTAAGTCATGGTAGGCTAGGTGATTCTGTGGCAATAGTCCCAGAATATTGGAGGCATATATCATACCTGTTTGTCCAGTGAGTATGAACAAGGGGCAGAAGCTTTACCTCATCGCATGCCTCTGGGACCACCGGACAGTGAGAAGTGCACTGGCTCTCAGGTTTCTGTCTGGAAGTGCACACTTAACTCTCATTCACTTTTTGTTAGAGAAAGCGGAACGTGTGGTCCATTTAAGTTTAAAGTGAGTGGCAACAGCTCACACCCATTAAGATGGTTGCCATAAACAAACAAATAAAACAGAAAATTACAAGTGTTGGAGAGGACATGGAGAAATTGGAACCTTTGTGCATTATTGGTGGAAATGTAAAAATGGTGCAACCCATATGGAAAACATATGGTAGTTCCTCAAAAGGTTAAAAACAATTACCATTCAGTGGAAGGAATCTTTTCACAACATGTGTGTAGAGAGATCATCATATTGTACACCTTAATATCTTATGGTTTTGTCACTTATAAATCATCAAAACCAAAAAAGAAAAAAGAAACTCTGTGATTGAGCATTTATGTTTGGTCTGTTTCTAATACAGTCTTGAAGAGATATTTGCAACCTATGTTCACAGCATTAATTACATTTATGAAAAGATGGAAGCAACCCAAATGTCCATGAATTTGATAAAGTATGGTATATATTTATATTATATATAATTTATGCATTTCTTGTGCATATTTTTCTATTATTCATGCTTTAAAAAGAAGAAAATTTTGACATTTACTACAAATAACCATTCACAGAAACACTTGAATTGTATGTCACTTATGAATTATCAAGAGTTGTTATTCTCATAGCGAAGGTTGCATAGTTGGAGGTGGGGGTTAGGGTGGAGATATGTAGTTGTAATAAGAGCAGAGTTTTTGTTTTGCAAAATGAAAAGAATTCTGGAGGTTGGTCGCACAACACTGTAAATATTCTTAGTACTGCCAAACTGTGCACTTAAAAATGATATGGAAAATGTTACATGTATTTTATCACAGGTTTGTTTTTTTTTTTAATTTAAATAAAAACCGGGTGGGTAAGTGCATCTTACACATACCTAAAAGTGGAGGCCTAGAGATCTTTCTGAGTGGCACTACAGAGTACCGTACTATATCTCCTGGGTTGTTGCAAAAATTTAAGTGAGGTACTTCCCACCAATTGTTTTAATGATGAAATGATGATTCATGTAACACATTTATCAAAAGATAGTGTCTTTCCCTTTTTAAAATAAAATCAGTTTTATAAATTCAAATACAAAAATTCATGAAGAAAATTTCTGCACACACTTATGGATATAACACCCTTTTATATAATAAGCCCAAAATATACTTTGTGTTTTCAGGTCACAGAGTGCAAAACATAAAAAGAAAAGATTAAAAAATTTTCAATTTGTTTTCTTCAAGAAAAAGCAAAACTTGTATGTTAAACCATTTGGAAAATTCACAACTGGGTAATTTTATCGTCAGTGTGAAACTTCAGAAAAGGATGGAGTAACTAGCTTATCTGAGTCAAAGCTCCTTCACTTACGATGATTGCTATTTTTGGATGGTATGAGCTCCTCTACATAAATGTGGGAAATGACAAAAAAAAACATTTTGTGTAAATTTATTTTGATTAAGAGTGACTTTTCCTCTTTCCCAATAAGTCCAAATATGCAAGTAGTAAACAGACTAAATGTCTGAGATTGGAATATATAATGATAGTAGAAGGAGTAGACACTAAGTGAGAACAGACTGTGTCAGGTCCATTTGCAAGGCCATACCACAGAGTAACTTATCTTAATCTTTACAACAACCCTGTGAGTTCAATTACTGTTTATTGTCCTCAATTGACAGGTGAAAAAAATAGTAAAATAAATTTGCCCAAGATGATATCGTAAGTAGCAGAGCCCAGTGCATGATAACCACATAAATATTATCATCTTGGTATGTACTGTTCTTTTCATGTTTTTCCTAGTTTTATTTACAGGTCCAAAATTATAACCACATTTGTATTTTTTAACATGCTTTAGGGATGAAGAGAAGCCAAAGAATCCAATGGTAGAGTTGTTCTATGGAAGATTCCTGGCTGTGGGAGTGCTAGAAGGTATAGTTACACATGCTTACTTCTTCCATTGATGGTGACTATTTGTTGAGTGACTCCTAATTTTAATTTAACTTACTCTGTCTGGTAATTTCTGCTGCATTGTTGCTACTAATCCATTATATTTGACAGCACAGAACTGAACAAAAAGAAAGGTGTAGAGTACATTGTCACATGCTAATCGATGCTTAGTTAATGTTACCCTGACCTTTCTGTGAGAAGGCTTTTGTAATTGGGATACAAGGATCAATAGAATAATTGGTTGACCCTTTGAAAATAACATTGGAATTGAATATTGGGCTTGTGTGATACTCACTTTTTTTGAGGGTTTCAAGTGTATATAGGTTGAAAATTGTGCTTGGCAATTTAGCATAGTCAGGGTATTGTACAGTTCCCAGGTGTTTTTTTGTTTTTTTTTTTTATTGTGATTATAAAATTCTTTAGACTCTAGTATTAAGAAAGTTTTACTTTATATCTTTTGAAAAATCAATTAAGAGTAATGTTAATCTACCTGTCCTAAATATCTATAAACAACATCAAATCTGGCCCTAACTAGACACTCTTGTTTTTCTTAACCAGGGAAGAGAACTGATTGACTAGGTGTGCTTCATATAATAATATAATGCTAAGTCCCAGAGCATAAATTAACTTTTTTTTCCCAAATTACCCAATGTGTTAATTTTGAACGTTTACCCAGGTCACCCAAAGTATAGAATTTTTTTTTTAAAGATTTGTTTATTTTTACAAGCAATGGGGTACACTCAGAAGTGGGGGAGGGTGAGAGAATTCACCAGAGCCAGAGCAGAGAGCAGAACAGGCAGACCGATGAAGTACACTGCTGAGGGGAGCAGCAGGTGGCAGGAGAGGTCGGCGCGCCATGTGGGACCCTTGCTGGGCAGCCGGGTATCGAACCTGCGCTGCAGAGGCTGTGGGCAGCTTTGCAACCTTGTGTTCAACCGCTGCGCCACCAGGGAGGCCCACCAAATTATAGAATTTTGAAAATTGGTTTTCCTTCAGGATCTTAAGTAATGGATTCCCATGCAATTTTGTTTGAATATAGTTTTGTAGGCTGGAGTTGAACAAAAGGCAGACATTATTAACTCAGGATTTAGTTAGATGTTTAAATTGAGTGTCAGTACATTTTTTGTTTGCCTCAAATGTTAAGTATTTGTAATACAAACAGTGAAGTATTTCATACATAGTAAATTCTATTTCAATTTGGGATATCCATACTATCATACTGATTTTTATTTGAATGGAACACTGTATCTGAAGCATTAGATTAGCTCTAATCATATTGTGACTGGGCACTATTTGTAATGCCCTTCATGAACATTTCTGCCTATATTATCTTGATTCTTAAAAATGATTGTTATTAAAACACTTAGTGTTGAAGTATTTGTATGTGTAAATTGTTTCAAAGCTATTCTGCTGCATAAATAGGATTTTAATACATTTCAACATGAACTGTATGTTTACTTTGGTAAAAGAAAGTGACTTTAGAGCATTTAATCACTTTTACATATATCTTACTGTTTTCTAATCACCAGTGTCTCTTAGTTGGGGGTGACTTTGTTATCAAAGTACTCCCATTGCAAAAGTTCCTCAGCTTTTCCAAAACTTTTAGTTCATTGACCCCTCCATTTTGTTCCTCTCAAACCTTTTCTTCGCTTTCTTCCTTGTTCATTATGATGACTCTTATAAATATAGCACTTCCACCAAGGCTGTTTTACAAACCTCATGAAATTACTCTTCTCCACTCTGCTTGTACTGGGGATCTGAATGTTCCTGGGGAAAGTCACACAAAATGGGCTAACTGTTACAGATCATGAATTTATAGTGACACTAAGCTTAGTGTCCCAAACTTGTTACCCTGTCTGGTAGTCATGCATTTTTGTTTAATCACTGTTCTCTCTCCTATTTTCTGTAATAGCACTTTCGATCTTTTCTACTCATTTCAAATATAATTTTTTTGCCTCTTCATTCTCTGAGAAAGATATTACCTCAGGGTTCATGGTTTTGCCATGAAATGAATGAACCTAACCATGGGCCTAAGGCCCTACATCTGATTTTGTGTTTTCTTAACATGACTTCCTCAAATACAGATATTTGTATCTAAAACCTCAGGCTCTATAATCTGGATGCATTCCTACCCCTACCACATTCTTACAGTTTTCCTTTTAGATAATAAATTATTCAGCTTTATATGAAAAAAAACTACTCTATATGTGCTCAGATCTCATCTCTTCATGTTTTCACTCAGAACTTTATCCATGATTTTGCTTTTTTCCTGTATCTTCAGTCTTGTCAGTATTCAGAGATGGTCTCACAGCAATAAAAACAAATCTATTTTTGGGCCTCCCTGGTGGCGCAAGGGGTTAAGTCACAGCACTACGAAGCTATTGCCAGCCAGTGCAGCATGAGGTTGATCCCTGGCCTGGGAGCTAACCCACATGGCGCAGCAGACCCCTCTTGTCTCACCTGCTGCTTCCCTTAGCAGTGTATTTCAGTTAGTCTGCCTGTTCTGCTCCCCACTTTGTCTCTGGTGAATCGTTTCACAACCCCCCCCCACTGGCCTACACCCCAGCTCTTTATGCATAAATAAATAAATCTTTAACACATATTCTTTTCCAGTTAATCTTATTCAGAGTTAATTCCCTTTAAAGAGAGGTATTTTTTTCACCTGCTGCTTCCCATTTATTTTAGTCCACCCCACTTTTTGCTTCTACCTACACTTCTTATTGAAGGGATTTTTAAAGGCTGTTGATTCCTACTAGAGTTCAAGTATTTTGGGTTCCCTTCCATTCTCATACTGAACTCTTACCAATTGCTCATGCTGTTGACTCGCTTCTTCCTCCTCCTCCATCTTGCTATTCTTAAAAATGCTTCTTTGACTTCTATGGCATGTGCCATTTTTTATACCTATGCGGTTACTTCTTAATATATTTATAGTTTCTTCTCGTTCATATAAAATTAAAAAATCTTAGTACTGAGCTTAGGTCTTCTTGCTTATTTTGTCTGCTAATCCCTAGGCAATCTCATTCACTCCCTTGATTTCTGCTATCAATATACTAGCAATTCTCTAATAACTAGCTTCAGACCAGAAGGTTTATCTTACAGACTCATATACAACTTTCTTCTCAACTTGCAATCCCATGGGCCATTTTAAATCAATGACTCTCACTGTTACGTTGAAATGAAGAAAAAAAATTCCTGCTATTCTTTTAGTACATAAAAATTAATCCAACTGTTTGTTAGAAGCCAGTGTCATCTTTGATAGCTTTCTTAATCCTATCCACCAGTCTGTCTGTGAGTCAGTCAAGTCTTATTGGTCCTTTCTCTTTTGTGTAGTGTGTGTGTGTGTGTAACATCACCTATTTTTGTATGCTTTCATTGTTAACACCCCACTTGTCGTTACCTTTATTATTAGGTGGACTCTGCAGTGGTTTAACAATTTACCACCTTACCACCCACTTATCACAGAAGCTGTAAGGTTGTTTCAGAGACATAAAACTGACCATATTATTCCTGTATTTAACTCTGCAGTGATTTTTCATTATACTCGGAATATACTTAATAAACAAATCTTAACATGGACCACAAGTTTTTGTAGATTTCTGCTCCCTGCCTGAGATTTCACTGTCATCTATTCTTTGCTGCTTCCCCAAGCTATAGTGTCCTTCCCTGAGTTCCTCAAACAGGCCACATTCTTAGCACCTGGCTTTGCATGTGCTGATACTTGGCCAAGGTCCGCAGTGCTGCCTCTCCCACCCTTTCCTGCCTCCCACCCCCACTAATGTAGCTTACATGTGTTCACCATTCAAGGCTCAATGTCAAAGTCAATTGCGATGGATGTTTTCAACCTCTAAGACTGGGTAACCTCCCCTTTTTATACTCTGTCTCATCACATCTTTTATAACACTTAGTAAACATTTATTTGGTCATAACTTTATGTGCATTGAATGTGTAATATCTTCTAAAAAAGGCTACAAGTTTCCTCAGCTTTTTTTTCTTCACTACTGTATATATTCTCATTGTTTAGCATAGTATCTTGCCTTTAGAAGGTATTTTTTGAAAGAATAAATGCACAAACACACACACACACAGCCGACAGAAAAATTGTAGTTCAGAGTTCAGTACTCTGAACATTACCTGGTAATAGTTACCAGGTTCAGGAGATATTGGTATATACATTTGCTATCAGTAGATTACTAAAGGAACTTTCCCCCCCTCCTATAGGTAAAAAGTTTGAAAATACTGAAATGTTTGGTCAGTACCCTCTTCAGGTCAATGGATTCAAAGATCTACATGAGTGCCTAGAAGCTGCTATGATTGAAGGAGAAATTGAATCTCTCCATTCAGAGAATTCAGGAAAATCAGGCCAAGAGGTGAGTTTAGCATCATCATTATTCCTCTTTCCCCCCAGGCCTTTTCTGCAGTGCTGTAAAGCACACTTCAAGGCTCTAATTTATACAGCTACCTAATAATTGAGATAGTGCCCAGAAAATGTGTTTGCATTTAATTATGGTCATTTAGACATATTTAGGAAACCAGCACAGTCAGTATGGTCCATAATCTTTGTTAAATTCTAGACTTAACAGATTATCTCCAAACATTTTGTTAAAGTTTTCCTTTAGTACATTGTTCAGTCTTTTTAGACTTTTCAGTCACTGTAACATGCTAGTCGTGAAAGAAGAAAAACACTGATATTAGGGTGGAATTGTCAGGGCCTAAATAGCTTCAGGCTCCTTTTTGTATAAATTGCTTTGTGATTGCACGGAAGAGCAGGTGAAAGAACTTGCTTTTTCAATAAAAATAATTTTAAAAATATCTTTTTTTTTTTAAAAGATTTATTTATGCATACAAGAACTGAGATACAGACCAGCGGGGGGTGTGTGTGTTGGGCGGTGGCGGGGGTGTGTGTGTGAGAAGATTCACTAGAGACAGAGTAGGAAACAGAACAGGCAGATTGACTGAAATACACTGCTGAGGAGAGCAGCGGCTGAGACAGGAGAGGTCTGCCTTGCCATGTGGGGCAGCTCTCTGGTCAGGGATTGAACTCATGATACAGTGGCTGTGGATAGCTTCATAGTGCTGTATCTTAACCCCTTGCACCACTAGGGATGCCCAATTTTAAAAATACCTTATAAACCTACTTATGTCCACTCACCCTTGTCTCCATCTCTGGGTTTCCATCCAACTATCCTTATATTCATCCATCTAAGAATGTCACTGTAATAGAAAGCAAAGGATACATACAAAAATAGTCTTTGTTAAGCAATTATTGATAGTTGCCTATTTGTTTTTTTTTAAAGGTTTATTTATTTATGCATACAGGAACTGGGGTACAGGCCAGAGGTGCAGGGGGTGAGAGGATTCACCAGAGACAGAGTGGGGAACTGAACAGGTGGATTGACTGAAGTACACTGCTGAGGGGAGCAGTGGGTGAGTCAGGAGAGGTCTGCTGCGCTATGTGGGTTACCTCCCTGGCCGAGGATGAACTCGTGCTGTGCTGCAGTAACTTCAGATAGCTTCATAGTGCTGCAACTTAACCACTTATGCCACCAGGGAGGCCCGATATTTGTCTATTTGTAAGCTGTGTGCAAGAAGATAGGGATCTTCATCTGTCATTTACTACATTTACTACATTTCTGTAGTGGATAGTATAGTGACAGCATATAGAATTAAATAATATATAATTATTGACAGACCTAGATATTTTTAAAAAATAACATTAAGGGGTCCTCCTTGGTGGCACAAGGGATTAAATCTCAGCACTATGAAGCTACCGGCAACCACTGCAGCACAAGTTCAATCCCAGACCAGGGAGCTGACCCACATGGCGCAGCAGACCTCTCCTGTTTTGCCCACTACTCCCCTCAGCAGGCAGTGTATTTCAGTCAGTCTTTCCCTGCTTTTAGAAGAAATGCGTTCACAGCAGAGACATCCTTTCATAAGGGATGGAAACAATTTTCTGGACTTTTCATGATTTACAGAGACATATACCTCCAATTTGGGTCATTTCATTTCTGTTGCCAATGTAGATTAGCATGAATAAAAATACATAATTATTTAATTTTAATGGTGACATTTATAAAGTATTACAATAAAATATGAGTGTAATAGTTCTTCAAATCTACTTGTTGGAGTATCATAAAGTGGAGCTAAGAATATTATTCTGAGGTACCAAAAGTCTTCTATGTGATAAATATGGGGTATATAAATATGTGTACGTATATATATGTAATATTATACATACATACATATATGTTTGTTTTTTCTTTTTGGCAGGCTCATTCCATGTTTTATTTTTACTTTTTTTTTTTTTTAATTGTGCTAACATTGGTTTACAACACTGTATGTGATTTAAAGTTGCAGGATCATATCCTTCAGTTGTATGTTATTTCCCCACACCCATTTTGCTGTGATTTAGAACTAGTTAAAAACATTCTTGGCCAGTGCTGTAGCGAGAACAAAACAAATAAGCAAACTTGACTCAACAATGTTACAACATAGATCCATTATTAGATCGTTCATACCTTTATCCGGTCCATTTCAGGTATTAGCTACATAAAATGAATTTCTTAAATTTCACTTTCAGTAAAGATAAGCCAAGTTCTACTCAAGAAATCTCAATTCTAGTAATCATTATCATTTGGGTAGGGAGAAATACTTTTGAATGACCATTTATTTGTATTAGCTTCATTTATAGAAGTAACAACTTTTAATAACCTAGTCAAATTCAGTTTTACTGGTATGTACTGCTCCTACTTTCTTTGATTTTTGGAATTAATTTAGTACATTCATAGCTTATTGAATAGCTGTGTGGTGGCATTTTGTAGAACTTGAATATAGTGTATAATATTAGTATGCAGCAATTTCTTTTTGCAGTGGTACATTGCATGTCTTAAGTAAACTGGAAGCATTATATTATTTTTTACTTCTGTAATTGAGTCAGAAGTTTGTTCATTTTTCTTTTTCTAAAACTTCAAACTGTTTTATGAAAATCACTTTGACATTCTGTTTGTTGTATTTCAAGCTCAATTGTGCAGGGTTATCAGAGTTCATAGTAATAGGGCATTTAGTCTTCATCATTTTAAAAGATTTTTAAATATATTTGTAAGTAAAAGCTGTATATATAACATATCTTTTTCTTAAATTGTATAAATCCCAGTAGGAAAATTAAATGTAAAAATGGAAATTACCAGTTTCCAGTTATTAGTGTGATCATTTATGTTGTAAAAGTATTTTTTTTCTTTTTGTGCTACATTTTACTTTGTAACATCTTTGACAGTGTGGTCGCTTGTATTAAGTTCTGTACTTAGTAGTGATAATTTAAAATAGTGCAGAAGAGATAAAGCTGGAGTTGCCAAGCCTTGATTTTAATCAGTGTCTTCACTTTTTGATTCAAATTCTAATGTAAATGTTATCTTTTAAGAAGAACATTGTTAGAAGGTTTTTCTCTTTCCTGGCTGTCTGTTGTTCCCTTTCCTGTAACTTTCAAAAAGTGTGAAAACTTGTAGGGATAAATTGTTTTGTTGCTTACCTATTTATTTGTGACATCAGCATTGTGATGATACATATAAAAATATCAGTGCTAATATCCTGTGCCTAAAATGGCAGTGGCTTCTGATTTCTTCAGATTGTATAACTCTTTCATCTTTTCTTAAAATTGCAACACAGAAAGAAAATAGGTGCTTTTAAGGTTTTTGTTGTTTTCTTTTCTATTAGCATTGGTTTACTGAGCTACCACCCGTGCTGACATTTGAATTGTCAAGATTTGAATTTAATCAGGCATTGGGAAGACCAGAAAAAATTCACAACAAATTAGAATTTCCCCAAGTTTTATATCTGGACAGGTATGTTTTGATATCTACATGACTTATTTTTAAAATAATTTAGTGATCAAGTGAAGAATTACTGTGTTTAGAGAGATTTTGCTGAATTTCCATATAATTCATTTTTATTCTATCCCCAATGTATGTAATACCATTTGTGAAGGAAAAAGGAATTCTCCCAATATTTAGAAAATTATAGATAGTGGGAGTAAAGTTATAAGGAAGAAAAAGACTAGGATTCTCTTTGTATTCATATTATAATTCTGTCAAGCTATAAAAAATTTGGCTTTGTATTATATGATGTTTTATTATGAGAATTTTGAATTCATCTTGTGGCAAAGCTAGCCTTAACATTGAATCTACTTCATGAGATTTGAAGATATTAATGATTACTGTTTTTCATTTAATTGATAGATACATGCACAGAAACAGAGAAATAACAAGAATTAAGAGGGAAGAGATCAAGAGACTTAAAGATTACCTCACAGTATTGCAACAAAGACTAGAAAGGTATTTTAACATTTATGAAATTGAGATGATTATAAAATGTCATGTATTTAATGAGTAACTAGATCTTTAAATTTGCTTTGATTTATGGTTCTAGGAGTAGATAATCAATTCTGGGTTGATATTTTGCTTGAATAGTTTTGAGTTTTGTTAGAAATTTTAAAAATTCATAGTTGGCACTAGAAGATTATTTTATTATTTGAAATAAAATTTTTTCACTGTAGATAAGTAATGCTCATGGTGTTAAAAATTAGATATAATCTTAATCTGTAATTAAGGTTTCTTCTGTGAGATTTAATACTGCTGTTGAGTTCCATTAAAAAGAAGGATCACTAAGCTTTTCTTCACAGAGAGGGTACAGTCTCAAATGCCTACCCGGGCCTCATGGAAGCATTTTTTTTCCCTTGGCAAAATAATGGAGGATGCTTGGTATACTTGTCACAGGATTTAATAGATTGCAATTATGACACAAAGGAATTTTTTTTTTTAATCTACTCAGTGAGTCCAGCAGTTTTGCCAAGAGGCTAAAATTAAACAAAAACTCTTAGAAACCTTTAAAAATGTTGGATAAATGGTTTGATTTATGGTTAATCACTAGTACACACTAAAGGAGCTTTTTTTCCCATTTCATTTTATTTTTTTGCCTTATAGTTTGACCAGTTCTTATTCCCATCTACCTCTTAGCCTCAGAGTCTCACTTTGTTTATTATAGCTTGATAGTTTTTGTAAATATTTTGGTTTGTCAAATTATCTATTAGGCTTTCCTGGTGGCCTAGGGTTTTAAGTCAGCACTATCACCACTGTGGCCTGAGTTTGATCCCCAGCCAGGTAGCTAACCCACATATGGCATAGCAGACCTCTCCTGTCTCGCCCTCAGATTCCCTTTATCTGCGTATTCTGCTCCCCATTCTGTCTCCTCTCACCCTCCATACCTCTGATTTGCCCCAGTTCTTCTATGCAAAATAAATACATACATACATAAATAAATGTTTATTGCTACATAAACATCCAATATTTGTTTTTATCATTCTGTCTTGCTTACTACACATAATTCTCTCAAACTTCCATTAGGCTGTAAATGGCATCCTTTTATCTTATGGCTCATTTGCATTACATTGTACAGATAGACCACATTTTCTTGATCTAATCCTCTTTCAGTAGGCACCTACATTGTTGCCATGTCCTATTTACTGTAAGTAGTGCTGCACTCATGACGTTTTATAAAGAAAGGAAGTGAGAGCAGATTTCTAGTTGCCTGAATTGAACAGCCAAAATGGGTAAAACAGGTGAAGACAGTTAAAGGTACAAACTTCCAAATAAATAAGCAGTGAGGCTGTATGTATAGCTTTGTGACTATAGTTAGTAATATTGTTGTGCTTAATTGAAAGTGGGTAAGAGAGTAGATCTTAAATCTTCTCATCATAAGAAAAACATTTCTACTATGTGTATGTGGTGTTAGATGTTAACTAGTCTTTTTGTGGTTGTCATTCCACAATAAATACAAGTATGTTATCCACTTCAAACTGATACATGTTAAATGGTAACTAAAATTGAATTTATATATTAAAATATAGTAAATTAAATATATTAAACATGTTAAAAATATGTCATACCTGAAATATAAAAACAACGGAACCAAGTGAAGTTTAAGCTGGCAAAGAAGGGCCCCTAGAGGACACTTCCAAGGAGAGGGAGTAGCTGCTGTTTACGCTCATGGGGCGGTGCAGCACATAAAATGGTCTCTGTATTGTCTACAGCTTCAGATTGTTTCCAGAGAAGCCAGAATCTACACTATCAAATTTTCTGTCTACAGGCTAAAATGTAACCTGAGAGATGGTAGTTTGCATGTCTAGTCTAATCTATTCCCATGTCTTAGTGTTAATCTGAAAACTAAGTCTAGAATTTTTCATTCAAAAATAATATATAGTTTTTCAACAATCTTTATTCTTAAAAGATTTCAGAATCATATTGAAAAGTAATCAGAGGTAGGAGGATAATATAATATTAACCACCATCTTGATCATGAGACCAGATGACGGAGCTAAAAATAAAGTCTCTGGAGGAGGTGTAACTTCAGTTTTCATTTTCCTACTGGAATACAACTGAGAGTAACATTTAAAATTTATTAAGAGTTTATACATATTCAATCTTAATCAGCTTTGATTGTCTTCCTTTGGAGAATAATTCTTGAATATATATTCACTTTTACCATCTTCATTTGAAACCAAATGGAGCTTCATTGTTGAAGATTTATTGAAGTGTTTTTTATCATGTTTTCTAACAATTATTGAAAAAAAAAAGAAATATGCTTTATGTACAAAAAAAGCATTCACACATGTTATGGTCAACAGATATTTAAGCTATGGTTCGGGTCCCAAACGATTCCCCTTGGTAGATGTTCTACAATATGCATTGGAATTTGCCTCAAGTAAACCTGTTTGCACTTCTCCTGTTGATGATATTGATGCTAGTTCTCCACCTAGTGGTTCCATACCATCACAGACTTCAACAAGGTAAAAAGTTTTCTTCTTACAGGAGACAGCATTGTTGCCTATATTGCATAATAATGTAATTGATGCCTTTTAAAAAGTTTTATAAAATGTGTGTTGGGATTTATTTTAGTGAACTCTTTAAAAGTTATTCACTTAGAAGCTTATGTGTTTCCTGGGTGGTTCTTTCATCGTTTAATAAATTTTTTGATTATAGAGTGAAATTTTCATTTTCTTTTCTTCTTGGAATACTTTTTTAGATTGTTTTGGCATGTTACATGTTTCAGCCTTTATCCATGAGAATAATACTGTTAAATTAGACATTTTTTCTGTAATGTAAGCTGGGAAATATTAGCCAGAGATGATCTTTATAATTTCGTTACACATGCAGTTTGTTGGTTTTGCTTTTGATTTTTTTAGGTAAGTATGTTTAAGCCATTTCTACTATAAATCTACAGTTTTACTCTTATAATAATGTTGTCCTGATATATTAAGACTCTCAGTAGGATATTAGATTAATCCAAATATTTCTCTCTTTTAAAGATCTTTTGTTTTTAAAATGATGGATGATATATGTTTGGCACAATCTTTATCCAGAATTGCAGTGTTGAAAGTTTAATAATAAAGATTTTGTCTTTTAAAACCACAGCACAACAGAACAACAAGGAACTCCTACTACAGAATTGCCAAGCACATCACCTGTATCAGTAACTGCCATTTCATCAAGATCCATAGTACACAAACCATTCACTCAGTCTCGGATACCTCCAGATTTACCTATGCATCCAGCACCAAGGCACATAACAGAGGAAGAACTTTCTGTACTAGAAAGCTGTTTACATCGCTGGAGGACTGAAATAGAAAATGACACAAGAGGTAAAAAAACTTCTAACACTTCTGTCACCTTGGATGGATGTGAATAATGTTACAATTGAATAGGGAAATAACCTCTGGATTTATACATATACGTTGTAAGCTATTTTTTCCAGAAAGGAGTTTTAAACTGTTCTAGCTTTGTCGATTTGTGTTCTTAATATTAGTTTCACCAAAACTAAAAGGTTTCACTAGGATTACTTATCTGATTAATGACACAGCTGATGGTCTGACTTTTTAATTTAGTGCTCTAAATTTAAATCTAACTGGTTTTCACAGCTGTGCCATTGGTGAAACATCACACAGCATCAAATTTTATACATGTCAATTATATACTTCCCCTGATGTTTACCGAATGAAGTTAGTGTGATAAAAATTTTCTTTAGGCTTAAAAATTAATTTTAATTTTTAGTCTGCTCAGAGAGTTGCAAATATGATCTGTGAGCTCAGTGTTAACTTTTAATGAGTTTTAATGGTATGTAACCAAATAAGAAAAATAGGAACAATGCTCGTGTTTGTGTGTGTGTGTGTGTGTGTGTGTGTGTTGGCGTTGAGTGTAAATAGTGTATCATGGTGACTGATAATCAGCATTAATAACTGTAAAGATTTCTCTTAGTGTTTCTCATACATAAAGATAATTTATATATTTAAATCCATTACAAACATTAATTACATATTTCCAAAACATTATGCTAAGAGTTAGACTCAACTCTACTGAACATGGCATATTGAGTTTATTTGTTAGGAGATTTAGCTTTAATTTTTCCTGATATCGTCCTTTATACATTTGAATAAAGATGAACTTTATTGACTGTGTATTTTCTAGGTGAGAATCACATTTGTTTTGGTTTTCAATTATGCATTTCTGTATCTTTATATTCCTTTTATATAAACTACTAATAGTGATGTTTTTAAAAACTGTTTCAGGAAATTTTTCTTATTCCTTTAACACTGGGAGAAAAACCTTTAGTCCCTACCTCAGTGGAAGTCTCAGTGGAAACATATATAATGTTAATCATTAAATGACATCTTCTATCCTTAGATTTGCAAGAAAGCATATCTAGAATCCATCGAACAATTGATCTAATGTACTCTGACAAATCTATGATCCAGGTAAGTTAATTTTGAGCTAGTAAATAAAATAAAATTATAAAGAATTTTATCATTATATCATTTGTCTCATTTCATACTTCCCACATTGTGTTGTATTCTTACACTGTACTTATTGCTTATGCTTTTTTAGTATTTTACCACAAAATTTATCGAAATTTTTCCTAAGACCTTAATATTTAAAAAAAATTAAGGATTATTAAAAGACTTTTAATCTAATTAAAATTAGTATTAATTAAAATATTCTAATATAAGTATTAAAATATTAATGATAAATCATATGGTCGGTGAAAGATATTAAGGATATTAAGATTCTGGAAGAATTTCTAGAATTCATTTACATTTTGACTTCTGGTATGCATTATATACACATATATCATACATATACATTATATAAACATTTTACTAAACTCATCAATTTATATAAAAAATTCAGACAAATCATGTTCTGCATATAAATAGGTTCATAAGTTCTTTGAAAGAATGAATAGGCCACTGAATTTATACATAACACATTTTCAAAGTTTTGGAAATCATCCTTTAATTTACACACTTGTCTGCTTTATGTATCTCTAGGTTACTTATCTTCCCTTCATTCCCTTATTTTATTTAAACTATATATAGTTTAATTTTTTCAAAATTTTAATTCTTGGCAATTTTCTCTTGTTTAAAAGCATGCGGTCCATGGTATCTTCCAGCTAGACTTTGGGTTTCAGGGAATGTAGTGTACTGGACTGTGCAACTGCAGTTTAACTCTTCTTTTTTTCATATTTAGGTTCCTTATCGCTTACATGCTGTTTTAGTTCATGAAGGTCAAGCTAATGCTGGGCACTACTGGGCATACATTTTTGATCATCATGAAAACAGGTGGATGAAGTACAATGATATTGCTGTGACAAAATCATCATGGGAAGAGCTAGTGAGGGACTCTTTTGGTGGTTATCGAAATGCCAGTGCATACTGTTTAATGTATATAAATGATAAGGCACAATTCTTAATACAAGGTAAGAATATGAAAGCTGGAATTGGGATGTTTTGTGACCAGGACTAAGAACCATTTGTCAGCTATTTAGTATGATTATAAAATATAAATCTGATCCACTGCTGTATGCTGAAATCTTCTTTCATGTCTATGTCACACAAGCTCCTTAGACTAACATATAAGGCCATCATTTGCTGGTCTTTCACTGTCTCTGCAGCTTCATTTATCACCGCAGTCCATTTCAGCCCTTATATATTTTACTTGAACTTCTTGTGTACTCTATTCACAACAAACCATTTTACACACTTAAATACCCATGTTATGCTTTTTATTTTTTGTTAGCAATGTTCTTATTTCTCTCTTCTTTTGCCTACTTTCTGTTCATCTGTCAAGTTCAATTTACGTGTTCTGTCCTCTGCCAAGTTTTTCTTGACCTACCAGAAAATGTTCTCCTGGCATATCCCTTTGCTGGTAATGTGTTGTGTGTTGACTTGTCTTTCCAACTTTACTCTGATCTACTCAAAGCCAGAGACCATGCCATTTTATGTGGTGTTGTTATTATTTCTGTATTTGAAATTAGGCTTTGTATATAGAAAACTTACTAAAGGTTTTTTGAAACTGATAAAAACAACTGTTGTGTTAAACCATTCAGCCATATTAGCTAGACTGTTCACTTATGGCTGAAAGCTAAACTTTATTTTTTGTGTTAATAGTAGAGGTAAACTACTTTAAATTCCATTTAATTTTATAAAAGTCTTGTTTTATAAATTCATTCTACTTACTTTTTTGAGCTTAACAAGGTTTTGGGTTATTCTCATTTTGTGGTAAGTTCTGCTTCATTATTTATCAAATATTTGGTATTTTCTTAGTAGAAAATAATGGTACTGTGTTAATGTTTGAGTCACAAGTAATTTTGACATTATATCTTGTTCCATTTTTACTTTTCACATTAAAAATTAAAGCTGAAAACATTATAATGGATTATTAAATGTTTGCATCATTGTTTTTCTGAGAATTTGAGTTTTTTTGGTAATATTGATTTGGTAAATGTTTATAATTCATACTTTTAAACCTGTTTGAAGTGTATTTTATTTTGAGCTTTGTATTTTTCCCTTAATTCTTAATTTTACATTAGTTTTTGAAATATGATTTGCAGAAGAGTTTAATAAAGAAACTGGACAGGCCCTTGTTGGAATAGAAACATTACCACCTGATTTAAGAGATTTTGTTGAGGAAGACAACCAACGATTTGAAAAAGAACTACAAGAATGGGATACACAACTTGCCCAGAAAGTGTTGCAGGAAAAACTTTTAGCATCTCAGAAATTACGAGAGTCAGAGTCTTCTGTAACAGCAGGTTAGTCTATTTTTATTAAGTTCTATTTTATTATCTGTATAGTTTATTACAAAAATAAGATATGCTCATTTAAATTTTTAAATTTTAGTTATCTTAATGTATGAAGCAGTCTGTAAAAGTCATCTGAAAATATGAAGAAACCAGTAAAAATCATCTGATATATAACAATTTAGTTTATCTGTTTGTCAAACACCACTGTGTGTGTGTGTGTGTGTCTTTTCTAAATTAAGTGAAATGATTCTGCTTTAACTCTACGTATTGTGTCTCTTTTCATTGAGCTTGACTCATATTGGAAGAAGCTTGGAAAAGCCATGAAACCAAGTACCCTAAAGCAGTTCACTAGCACTCTCAAAAGAGTGAGCTCCAGTAATGTCATATTTGCACACAATAACATTATTGGCATATCCATATATATTGTGCAATAACAAAATAGCAGTATTAATATATTTTTATTTGACTTTTCTCAGAATTCTTAAAATTAAAAACAAAATTAGCTGAAACCACACATTTTATGTGTTCCAAGTAAAAAATATACACTTGCAAAACAAATATAAATATATAAAAAATAATATTGTAAAATAATTAGCTGATGAGATAAATAAAATATCCAGAGTAAACACTGTATAAATAAAGAAAATACATTCTAGCAAAATAGGAAATATGTCTTTTGATCTTTAAAAGATTAATGTATCATTGCTAAATTGTAAAGATTTCTTGGTATTAAGAAAAAGAGAAGAGATAAATTAAGTACAAATACTTTCCTCAAATTCCTTTGTCTCTTTTTTTAACTTTGGGTTGGTGTTTTCAAGTGACTTTATTTTACTCTACAGGTTTTAAAGCATTTCAGGGGTTTAATTTTAGTTTCCTAGTCAGCATTACATAGGTGAGTTTCAGCATGGTCATTTGAAGGAATCATTCATGGGGGATTGATAGTATACAATATGGATGGAGACTGATGCAGACTTGCACAGATCTGTCCAGACTTGTACCTTCTTTTCATATAAATTCAATAGTTGAGTCCTTGATCATGATCTTAAGTGTTTGATTCAGAATTTTTATGAGACCAATATATTAAACCAACAAAGATACCAACATTTTGATGTTTAAATGTAAAACAGTATGTATATATGAATACATGGTGATCTCTACCATTAGGCAGAACTATACTTTCTTCCTGTCTAGCAAGGGCTACTATGTAGAGAAGATGAATCTCTGTGGTTTTACAGCAATACAGTTTCATCACAGTGATTTTGTTCACATTAATCGGAAATAACTCAGTGGATGTAAGAGTTTTGTGAATTCAAGTGTCAGTATAGTACCTATATTATAGTTCCTTTCATTTTGACAGTCTGTTCCTTCGTTCTCATACTTGTCTTCTGTACATGATCTTCCAAAACCACATCCCAGAATTTGTCCCAAGATGGAGCATTGTGTTATTCTGCTCTTGACTTTTATGTATCTCATTTGAATGTCACTCTTAACTTATTAGATGAAGGAGGGATTACATAACTGTTGTAAGAGGCAGTGGTAACCAAAGCACCCAGAGGTGAATCCTCCATTGTTAGTTAAGCTCTAACTCTGTTCTTGGCACACTTACATTTTATGGTACCAAAATATTGAAATCTGTCCTCTGTACCTTGCCTGTTTCTCACAGAATTCCAAGTTTATAGACTTAACATAATATCTTTTTATTTAGTCAGTCTACTACATTGTGCCCACTAATACTCTTACTCGACAGAACTAGTCAACTTTGGCTGGCTGCTTATATGTCATCTCATCGTTCTTTTGTATATGAAGTCCATGCATCCTTCCCTCTTGATCAGTACTTCCCACTTTATACTCTATATGCTGTTTTATAATTAATGAAAAATTCAATAGTAAAAGGCATGTGTTCTTATGCCTCTTTTTTAGTATAAAACATGTCTTGTAGAGAATTCTGAGAAGAAACCTGATAACTGAAAAATAAAGAGGTGAATGTGATCAGTTCACAGAGAACTGTCACGATAATTATCTTCCATCAGTTTTAGAAAGTGAAGGAAGTACTTTTTGTATAGGATGCATCATTTCCTCCATAGAATTGCTATAAATATATACTTTGAGTTAGTAAAAATAGTGTGTTATAACTATAAATTTCAGGAATGAGATCATTGTTTAAAAGGTTCTATTACTATACTACTTTACATATTATATTAAAAAGTCCATCTTCTGCCGCAGGGGAATATAGCATAATAAGGAAACTTAGTATAATGTTTATTTCAACCAGTTATTCCCTGTCATTATTAGAGAAATTTTACTTTAATGCCTATACCTCCTTCTTCCTATTTTTCTTCACAGTTTTCAAAGTAATTTGTTTAACTTGGTCTGATACTTTCAGAATATCAGGGAACCTGTGTTAGGTTTCCCAGGAGTGTGCTAGGATTATGAGTCGCTAGTGGAAAGTTATACAAGGAAATTTGTTCATAACATCCATCAGTTATTTTTCTTTCCTGCAAATCACCACAATAAGCTAGTTTACAGAAAATCATTAGAATCCAATTTATTTTGAGTGGTATTGCAAATGAGAATATTAATTTATATAGTATAAATTAAATGAGTCTTTGTTTCTTTTTTGCTAATATATGAGCAGCAAATCCATAGATTATCACTTCTCCAGTATTAAGTATTGCCTAACTAGAACTAAGTAGTAAATGATGGGAATTTACCACTTGTTCTCGCTCATGGTAACTCTTTAAACTTACTTACTGCAAAGGAAAACTTACCTGAACACTTAACGTTTGGAGATATAACTAACAGTTCTTTACTTTGGATGTTTACATCAAAATTGTCTAAAGAATTTTTTCTGAGTATAGTATAAACAATGCACCTACCTTAGACCAACCAAAGACTTTATGAGGATCAAAATCTCTGCCAGGGTCCAGAATATATGTATTTTTAAGAAAGATCTTCAAATGGCTCTGGTTAAGCAGCATGGCTCTAAGCTTAAGAAATGGAAGTTATTTTGAAGGAGAAAAGAGCTTTTCCTGAATTATTGGGTTACTTCTGTTTCAGCTCTCTTACAAGTATTCGAAGTCCTTTTAACATACATAGCATACCCACATTAAAAACAAAATCACATAAAAATGGTTAATATTGGTATGAAATGCATTCCTAGGTATCCTAGGGATCTCTGCAAATACTGTCTGCAAGTTGAAAATAGACCAATGTTCTAAGTAAGTACAACTGGTTCCTAAAAGTAGACTTGGTAGAATAAACAGTGTTCTCAGTTTTCTCAAGTTCCTTTAAAGCAGGGACTGGGTGATGTTATTTTATAACTCCAGAAACGAGCTTAATGAAAAACATATGGTAGATCCCCCTCCCCTGAATCTTTTTTCTAAATAGAATTCATTCTATATGGAATGAATTTTCTAGGGGTGATTCCAGTGTATGGAGAATATAAACATTTTAAAAGTATCTCCTTAGAGAAGAGGTCTAAAAATGTGTGGTGTGGTATATGATTTTCCTGGGTAAATTTTATATTTAACTCTGTTTGCTAAGTCCGTACCCCCAGTATCCCTGAGATTTGTTTGTGGTTGTGCCAGGAATGTGAAGTCCTTAAAGTTTCTAGGGTGATTCTGTGCAGCCAGCGCAGCATGGCTCTCTGTTATTGTCCACTTAAAATTTTACTTTTCTCTCTAGTCTATCCTTCACAACATGCCCAGGATAATAATTTCTTTTTTTAGAACTTGCCATGTTGCCACTGTATTTAAAACACTTATTCAGTAACTTCTGACCTCAAAACTTTTATGTGAGTCAGAGGCCTTGAATGATTTGGGCCCTGTTTGTACTGCAGACTGGCCACACTGGCCTCCTTTTGGTTTTCTCTCACGCTCACTACTTGGGGCTTTTCATACTTTCACTTGACAAATCTAACCCATCATGTTTCCACTAAAAAGTCACTATTTTACATCCCTTAATCTAAATTGCTCCTCCCTCATCTTATTCCTACATAGTATTATTGTAATAATGTCACAATTCACATGTGTGATTCTTGGGTTCATCACTTTATGCATAACTAACTGTAAGCTTCCTGGGGGCACTGAATGGCTACTTTGTTCACATGTGGAAGTCCAAGTGCCTGATCCAGTGATTTGCACATATTTAGATGCTTCATTAAAATTCATTGTATGAAATGGATGACCATACATATATGTTATGATTATAATAAATTTTTTGAATAACATTTCACTTTGAGAGATTGTTTAAGTGAGTAAAATATTGGAGAGGATGGCAATAACCCTGTTTTGTGTCACTAGGTGTGTGGGCAAGGGCTGACTTAACTCACCCCTATGCCAATGGAGAACATTTAAGTGTACTTTTTTAGTCCTCAGATCCTTGCATTAGCTTAGTTATTAATTCATTTTTTTCCGTTGTTATTATGTGCATATTCTGTGCGAGGTGTTAAAGAAACAGTGGTGCAAGAGGGAGATGGTATCCTTACTCTTGAGAGCCTTATAATCTGGCAAGGGATCTAGGATTTAACAAATAGAACAGTAATTAAGTCTTAGGTGTGGTAAATGCTAAGAAGAAGAAAGTGTTAAGTTACTCTGGCACAGTGCTTCTCATCTCACTTTGATCCTGCAGAGAACATTTAAGAATACTAACAGCATTTTTTCTGTCACATCTGAAGAAACAGTGTTATTTGCATCTAGTGAGTAGACGAAGGTACACAGAACAGCCCTCCATATCAAAGAATAATTCAAAATGTCAATTGTGCTGAGACAGAGAAACCCTACTTTGGAAGGATTTATAATAAGAATACTTCTAGGAAATGGTATTTGGATACATAAGATATGTAGGAGTTACTAGATGTGTGTTGGGGGGGCAGTGAGAATAGGTGAATGTATTAATAGAGGGAAGAACAAGGAACAATTGGAATGTTCAAGGTCTGAATGTTTAAAGGTAATCCTTGTCTTCGATGTATTAGGCAAACTGAAACCTTATAAAGTCAAATACCTCCTCTTTTGAGCAAACAACAAAACACGCACATGCTGATGTTGGAGAGAGAGAGAAAGGCTCAGTTATGTAAAGTCCTGTAGTTTGTGTAGGGATTTTTACTGGGTGAAGCACCCAGTAAACATTCAGAATATATTGTTCCATCACAGCATTGCATTAGACGTAACTTTGGGGGATCTTCACAGGGATGAATTTGAAGTTTTGAATTATATATTGGTACTAGTTTGCCAAGCTATGATTGTTTTCCCTCTGACAACACTCAGTTAGCAGGGGCAAAGTTCAGAAAAAAGGTTGAGTTCATTTAGGGTTAGGAGTTTTAGGTAGATGTGAAAAAGAATATGAAGCCAGAAAAATAGCTACTGGCTCTGTGGAAACTCTGGAAACTCAGATCAGGATTGTTGAACAAACCTTTTTTTTTTTTTTTTGGTAAAATGCTAGTGATATTCCAAAATGAGATTTTGGTAATTACCATAGCAGAAAAATTTTCTCTAATTCCTTGTCAAAAACTATAATATATTTCATCTGTAATTACTGATAACTATTTTTCTTAGATCTGAATTTTTTTTTTTTTTTTTTTTTTGGTAAATTCTGGGGGGAGTGCTCTATGTTGAAGGATGATATTACTTTAAGTAGAAGAGTTAAATTGGTTGTTATAACTTCAAATTAGAAATAAATAGAATCATCTTAGTATACACTCTGTGATTTATATTAGATATACAATTGATTCTTTTCTCATGAAGCACAAGCAGGAGAACCAGAATATCTAGAGCAGCCATCAAGAAGTGATTTCTCAAAGCACTTGAAAGAAGAAACTATTCGAGTAATTACCAAGGCATCACATGAGCATGAAGATAAAAGTCCTGAAACAGTTTTGCAGTCGGTAAGAACTTTTCTTTTAGCTCTCAGAACATAATCACATTCACAACTTTTCCTAGCAGTGTATGGAGAGCAAACCATCTGGAAGTCAGGAGAGGTGTGGCCAGGGGGCAGAACATGATCAGCATCTGTGGGTATCTATGTAACACCCAGGCTATAGTTTACTCAGCTGTAGTTTTAAGAATTCTTTTTTTTTTTTTAAAGTATCTTCCTGTTAGACCATTATGAAAAATCATAATCTTAGTTTAAATTGGTCATTTGGTTTGGAACTTAAAAACAGAAGTATAAAACTTAGCATTATTCCTCCTGTCCTACCCCCCCCCCCCAATCTTTAGTCCCACTACACTGGAATGGCTGGGAATATAAGGTTATAAGGTATAATTTTCATGTTCCATAGAATGCATTTAACCATAAAACACTTGATACTCTAAGAGTATTACTAGTAGGTGTCCTAAAAATTGTCGTTTTTTATAATCCTCCTGTATTACAGTTCTCAGGTGTGTCTTTTTACAACAGTAAGTTAAGCACAGTGGTATTGTGCTGTTTCAATGAATATGACTTTGAAGAGATGTTATTTCAAGAGTTTGGTACTACAAAACCATTCAGTTGTTGTAGTCTTTTTTTTTTTTTTTTATTTTATAAGTGAGCACAAGCAGCTTCTTATGCAGGTTTCATGATAGCTAATTTTATTTGAAGATTCCTCTCCTAGTATTTGTGTTTCATTGAACAGGACATAAAATTTTTCAATATGGTCTGCTTACTAAGTGAACTTAATCCCACCAATAACCTGTTAATTACAATGAGATCTTTAATATAAGACCTTAGTTAATGAAAATGTTCCGTTACTAGGGTTCAGTTAGCTATGTGTTTTAATGAATGAAATAATATTCAAAAACTTTTTCATTTAATTCTGTTTGAATTTTGATTATGTGTTATCATAAATATATCTATATGTTTTTTTGAGTGTTTCAAAATTTGTGAATACCTAAGACTGAAGGACTCGCACATGAAGATCTGCTCATGCTATTAAAAATTTGCTGAAAATGCTTCCTTTAATGGATCTGGGAAGTCTACTTCTTTTGGCTGATAGAAAAGAAAAGCCCGGGCACAGAGAATGGGCAGAGTATTAGATACAAGAAAGACAGTTTTTGTCTGATATAAAAAGTTTGTGAGGGCCATTACTAATTAGGATTTTAAATTCTAAAACCTCCATTATGGTTAACAGGTATCATCCTTTTAACTGGTGTTAGAAAACCAAAAATACTGTGTAAGATAGAATCAAGTTTTTTTTTTTTTTTAAGTGTGGCTAATGTATAATTTAAATTTGCAGAAATCAGCTCTTAAAATTTTGATTTCCTATTTTATTAATATGGATGTCATTTGAAAAGCTAGCAACCTGTCGCTTACCTTTACTTTAGAAAGGAATATGATATTGAGGGAATAGGATAGAAAAGTACAACTGTTTTTCTCTTTTGCTTAGCTTCTGGTTAGCACCAGTACTGGCCCGTTCTCGAAGCATATCAAAGAATAAGTTTTTATGGCTATCTGAAGTAGCCTGTGATTCTATGATTAGTTGCTTAGGCTCGTGATTACTTAGGTAATGAGAAAACTTACTGGGTTTTCTCATTAAGTTTTCTCATTTAAATGTATACCTTAGGAACTAAGTTGCATAAATAAAAAGCACCTTCAGACTTTGGAGTTAGGTGGCCTAGGTTTTGAGTATTTTACTTCTTTCTAGATTTGCAAACTTGAACAAATTGCTCAATTTCTCTAAAGCTCAGTTTTAAAAAAATATAGGTGATTGTGGGATTAAGATCATTTTTGTTTAAAGTGCCTGACATGTAGCGAAACCAAGTAGCTGTTGGTTTTCTACTGTCACTTAAATCCTTATAATTTCATAAGTAATATAATGCTGTAAATTCTAATCTTTGTATAAAAAGAGTTCCCAGGAAAACTTAGAATTACAGAAATTAGAGACAGATACTCTAAATGTTTAGACCACATGCTTTTTAGAAGAATGTCTTTAATTTTAAATGAAATATTTAGAACATTTGAAAATACAAAAAAAATTCCAAAAAAAACCTCTTGCTTACTTCCACTACACAGTATGCAGTGTTTTTTCTTTTATTTACAGGTTTGGGATTTATTTTTGTAGTTGAGTTACTGTTGCATATAAAATTTAAGGGGGGTAAAAAGGGCAACAGTTATATAGAACTCTACCCTTTTATGAGATCACATTTAAAAAAAAAATATATTGAACGGATCTCAGGCAATTGATAAAAACCCTGTATTTTAATCATTTTTTCAGTTTATTGAACATCTTATATTTATGTCCTTTTAAGTTTAGCCATTATGAAGAACATGACAATAATAGAAAAAGAAAAATACATGTGTACTTTAACTTCAGTAAACCTTTAAATTCTTTATATGAAAAAAATTGGATAGTACTTTAGAATACCTAAAGGTGATGAATAAATACAATAGAATTATATGCAATCAACATTTTTCCCCTTTTTCAACTGAGACCCATATAATTTGTCAGTATTTTACTGTTAACTTCTGTCTAACCAGAAAAATTTAGAAAACATTAATTTTCCCTAAGTGTAGTTTTTTTTGTCAAAGGGAACACCTTTTGTTAGGATCAGTGTTCTAATTTATCTGCTTATATTTCATTCATTTGCATGGAGACCTAGCAAAATTATTCTTGTTATATACTAGAAGGATTAAAAATCCTTAATATCATGGACTAAGCATGTCTTTATAGGATATGTATGACAGTTATGTTCACTAATTATCTGTTAAGAAATAAAAAATATTTAAGGTGCTTGAAATCAGTTTGCTAAAAGCAAATTCAATTTGTAACGTACAAGTCTTCCTAAGCAAGATAAGCTCCAGTTTTGACATAAAATGAAATTTTAATAAGCATTTAACTGGGTTTTATTGGGATAATAAACTGCTTATATTTAATATAAGCAATTTAAAATAGCATAATGATACTATAATATTATTTGTAATACCTGTTATATATAAACATAATGGTATAAATATTTCATACCAGGGTGGGATTAGTGAATTTTATCTCTGATGAATGACAAACTTGCATTTTCATTATTTCCTCCTGAAAAGTTGAGGACTCAGATATAAGAAAGCCATTTCTAAAAGTGTTATGGTTAATAAGTACAGTTATTTTAAGGGTGACAATGCCAGTCTTGCAATTAGTTTTATTGCTTAAATTCTTTTTGCACATTTACTTCTGGAAAGTCAGAAAATGTTCACATCATCAGAATTTACCTGTATTTCAAACTGAAATAAAACCACTTAATGTTCTTTAGAATTTTCTGATTGTTTTATGTCAAAACTAAAGTCTGCATTTGCGTAAGAGAACTTGTATGGCGCAAACTGAAATTCCTTAAGCAGACTACCTCCATATACCTTAAGGACTTGAAATTTGTTAATAGATTATTAGTGAAAATGCCAGTTATAAATCTATTCAGTAAAATAAGGTCATTGTGAAATACAAATAATGCTTTGAATGAGTGGACTTTTCTGAATTTCTCACTGTCTTCCATTCTGTTAGTGGATTGGTGAAAATTGTAGATTTCCGTTAACAAGGAAAAATAAAAATCAGCTTGTCAAAAGTTGATAACATTTTCCAGCAGCTTTGCCCAAAACAAGAATTCATTGAACACTTGTATATTTTACTAGCTTTTCTTAACTGTACAGAGTGAACTAAAGATAATGGAGTATGGATAAGTGGCTATACAGTTGATTATTAGACAGGAAAGAAAGTTAAAAAACGTAAGAAAATTTACAAATCTGGGTTCAGACTAAGTCATAGCTTATTTTGAGGGAAATACCAAATCAAGTTTAATGGAGTTACTTATATTTTAAAAAAATTTTGCTAAAAAGGCAACAATAAGGAATAGAAGACCAGTATTCATTCCTTTTAAGATTTGGAGCCCAGAGTGCATTGTGGAAAGAAAAAAAAAATTACTATTTGAGATGTAAAGGGGAAGTCGTAGGTCTTGTATTATTCCTTGGTTAATGCATTTTCTTCTTATGTTCTGTTTTAGATGACTTCATTTCTTAGTTAAGCAAATGCAGATTTTTTAAAAGACTTGAGTGTATACACTTAAACTCGGTGCTTCCCTTGTTTTCTAATGTTCATACTAATGATTTTCTTCTGCAGAAACCTGAAAATACCACAAGCCAACCACCTTCTAACCAGCAAGTTGTAGAGGTGGCGATTCCTCATGTAGGGAAATTTATGATTGAGTCAAAGGAGGGGGGTTATGATGACGAGGTACCTTTATTATAGCCCTCTGCACTATTCCTACTAATTTTTTTGTTATTTAAAGCAAGCAAGTACCTTGGGCATGTCTGCACCCTCACACCTTTGTCTATTGTTGCATAACTTACAGCTTTGCCACACATGGTCTGAAATTACACTACCAATTGCTAACAGGATTTTTAATTTCAAATGAAAATTTAAATAGAATATGGAAAGAATTTGTCAAAATAATTTTGTGTTTACAGAGTTAAATCTTTCATGCAGACATAGTATCAGTTTATTCTCAGGTTGATAGGCTATACGGTTTGCTTAAATAGTAAAGTTTTGAGTATTTAAAAATAGTTTTTGTTTTCCTTTTATGTTTTACCTGAATTACATTTTATAATATTTTGTCCGCCATTTCATACCAGAAGACCTGGAGCATGGTTGCAAATCGATTATTGATATTTTTACTTCTGAAATCTCTGTGTGACTGTGAATTAATGATTTATCAATATTTCTGAATGCCTTCCAGTGTTTTATAATACTGTGGCACTTCCATCTTATTTATTCTTTATCTTCATTGTTAAGTCTCATCTTTGTAGTTTTCGAACAGTATTGAGGCATTTTTGCTTTTCATAATGTGGTTCTTGGAAATCTAGATGAAAATACATTGTTGTTCTGGTTCCATCAAATCTATCTTCCCCTTTGACCCCTACTTTTTTCATTCTTCT